TTGCCAAACGTTAACATCATTTGCAGTTACAAATTCACATCATTTAAGGCACAGGGGACCTGTGTATCTGGGACTCAGGGAAAATGAGCAAGATCTGCTGAGGTTCGGGGCAGATTGTGTCCAGATAGGTCTCATACCAAACACAAAAACAGAACCAGTTTTACAAAAGTAATCCTAATTTTTCTGAGTTGTCTAGTCCTGCAACATAACCTAGAAATGCAATTGAGATTAGTTTCCAAGTCCCCAAACCTGGCTGCTTTCAGTTTGAGTTGGATTTGACCTAATTCATTCAGACAGAAAAGATGAAGTACAGGCGTAAACAGCGTGGGTTGTATCAAGGAATTAAAAGCTTTCACTCCCCGTAATGAGCTTAGAGGTTTTTATGATACACTATTATGCCTAAGACCCATGGGTAGGACAAAGACCTCCCTCTTGCCATCTCTGGATTATTGAAAAGGCGTAATGAGAGGTAACCAAGGATGTCTTACCAGAGAAACTTGGGAAAAGCTCACAACTTGTTTTTTTTTAGTTCCCAGGAGCTTCTGAGTTAAGGATAAAATGGGAAAAACTGCTCCCTTTCTCTTGACTGTAAAGTACAATCTTCCTAGCGTGTCAAATGCTAGAATTGTTAATCTTACTGTATTACACAACATAGGGTAGTAGAAAAGCACAGGCCCAGTGAACTGGTTTCTCATTTCTCAGAAAATGTTTTGTGGGCAAAGACACTCTAGAATGAAGGGCAACCTTAAGCAAGCAACCACTGAAAAGCAATTTGGGCAAGTGAGGAGAGGGCTTTTACTTTTCAGAATACAATCTGTCTTTAGCAATTTAGCATAGAAAGGGCTTACCTTTTCTTTTGCTCCAAAAATTTGCTGTGTTCATGAGGTAGTGTTTGGCTACATCCCCAGCATCTAAATGTAGGCCTGGTACAGTAGAGAGAATGAAGTATTTGGAAAGGGAGAGGCAGAGGGTGGGGAAGGTGGATGAGTGGATGTAAAGAAAGGGCAAGGAGAGCTAGAACAGCACCTTCACAGTTCTGAAAGCATTGTACAGAGAATGCTCGGTTGAGCCGAACTCTCCTCTACGCTAGCATGTTATTCTGCGCTCCCTTCCCCATACACACTTTGTGTGTCGGGGGGGGAGGGGGCGGGGAACAGGGACCAACCTCATTATAATAGCCTCTGCCACCTCTGATCTAAGCACTGTAGTTTTGAAAGAAAGTTTCCACAGTGGAGCCAAAATGCCATTCCACTCACAGCACTGCAGGTAAGTGGTTGGGGGCAGACGTGAGATCTCCATTGTGCCTCACTGTTCCACTGGCCACCGAGAGGTCTCGCTTGTGTACAGCTACTTGTTAGACTAGGAAGCTGCAAAGGGAGGTCAGTGGATACGAAGGCTCACAATTAGTCTTTTCAAATTAAGACATTAAATCCCTTCACTGGCCAGGGGAGAGTTTCAGCTACTTGCTAGAAACTGATCTGAAAGCCAGATGGTGTCCATCACAAGGACGAAATGCCATGGTCCCTAGGACTCAAGTACAAGGATCTTCAAAGTGATCCACATTGACATCACTGTCAGTCTCCAGGGTGGAAAGAGGACAGTCATCTGCAAAGCAAAAGGTTTTGTGTAGAAACATCATTTAAATACAATGAAAATTATGTACTGAGTTTTTCAGATATCCACAACTGTTCACTTACAAGCTGGGCCAATAGGCAAAAACCATCATTCACTAAGAAGGAAGTTTCATGTTACAGATACAGTTGATGGGGGGAAAACTTTGGCCAAGCGTATTGGGAAGATGACCTGATTTTTTTCTGCCCCACCAGCTTAGCAGATACTGATTCAGAAGACCTCTCCTTTATACACGTGCTGTGCCAACCTCAAGGAGACCGTCTAGACTACACTTGTTGCAAAGCAGTAAGGCAGTCTATTTCTGAAATCCAGTAATACTTTTTTAAAAGACTGAATGAAAAATAAAAGGCCCATTACCCATGGAAACGGGTTCAGATGACTCAGTTCTTGCTTTTCTTTTCCACAATCTAGCTTGGGATAAGCAAATCATTACTATCGATGATAATTAGCCCTGGGATGGTTTCACAGCTCTTAGTTGGTCAGCCAGGAGAACTCGAGAACCGATCAGTTTTATCAACACTTGAGAAAAGGAACCACCCGAAGTAAAATGCCAAACCTTAACGGGGAGGACAGTGCACTTGACCGGTGGTGTCCATGATCGGCTTTCCCTGGGTAGTTGAACAGAGGACAACCTACCTACAGTAACCCGTTCCCCCACACTTCCTCCAACCTGGCCAAAATGAGAGAATAAAAGGGAATAGCAACAATACACATTTCTCTACTTAAAGAAAAAAAAGTGCCTGGTTTGATTTTTAAATATTGCTCAAAACATGTCTTTACAACCTGATGCAGAATTTGTTTTTAAAATGAGTGATGGGGTTAAGTTCATATTAAAATACTAAAAATTAATCCAATTATTGTACTTAGTGCTTACAGTGGTTTCACACAGAAGGGTGTTTGTGTTTGACTTACAAAACTGATACGTCAGGCTCTGGCGTCAGGAGTTGGTACCCACCCCGTCCGCCCCCAAGCCACCGGTGACGTCACTAGCAGACTTGGACCTTTACCCATTATAATGTAATGTGGAAGGGATGGCTCTTGATGCTTCTCTTTTGAGCATTTAATGGCTCAGATGAACCTGACTTTACTGCATGTAATTACAGCATCTTTCTAAGAAAGCAAGCCTCTTGCCAGCAGAGCTCATCCAATTGCTCTAAATGAAGAAAGTGACTCAAGAGGCAGGGACTGCTGCTTCATCATTTCACCTTTCAACGGAAGCAGATGTTACCATTCTCAAACAGACGGAAACACTCCTAAGGATCTCTACCAAACACAACCCATGCCACCAATAGTATTTTTATGGTCTTCCTAATGTGAGGTTGAAAAATGATGGAAAGAAGCAAAGACTGTCGACAAGTAATGAAATTATAAGGGAACTTAAAATGCATGTTCATGCTCTAAAATAGAACTGAATTTGAATGAAAGTCATCCCTTGATTATGAAAACTGCCCCTAAGAGGTGACTGCTAATAAAGTTAACACTAGCCCTGCGTTGATCCAGTCCCTCACAAATGGGTCGACATTAAAAATCACAGCCTCAATTGCCAGAAGCGTGTGTGTTTGTACGTTGGGTGTATTTTAAGTGAATTCCAGCAAATTTATTTTTCACAGACATGGTAGAGAAAGCCACCCGGGTAACTTGAGAAGACAATGTGGAGCAGAACCATTGTAATGATGCTATTGTCTGGGACAGGTTATACACTTCCCTGGGGTTTGTTCCCATGGCCCGGGATACAAAAACTCTGGAAACAAGGTAAAGCACAGCTTCCCAATAAATAAAAAGGCAGGGATGGGCCAGAAAGTTATTTTTAAGGTACCTTTAAGTATAAATTCAGTCCTAGAGGCAGAAAAGTCCTCTACCCAGCACGGACACATTTTAAACATGATTAAGACTTATAAAGGTCAAAACCCCAGTGACGGCAGAGGGATTTTTTTGGTTGTATCTGAGATGAGGAGAGATTCTTAAGCAGAGTTCTGTGACTAAAACTTCACTTAAATTTCCTCTTGAACTTAAAACTGGCATAATTTTGATACCAAACTAAGTTTGAATAACCAATACATAAAACAGAACTGGCTAACTGGAAAAAATTTTTTTTCCCAAAACAGAATCCCAAACCCAAAACAACTTATATAAGGGATGCAGGTCACAGAAAAAGAGTTAAATAAAACAACAATGGTTCCTGAATTTAAAGGAAGGATGCCCACTTCTCTCTCTCAAGAGGCGGATGGTCAGCTGAAAAATAAAAACATTGCATCAATAGAACACTCCAGATAAAAAAATTGTAGCCATCTCTGTTCATGCAATATCAAAAGTTAAAAAAAAAAAAATCCCAAACTCCAAAACAACCCATAGAAACTAACAAAAGGAAGGAGACTGTTGCCCAGATCTTAAGACCTGATTGATGGTTGAGGGTCCTGGTGGGGCTGTTCAGAATGTCACTCATGGGACAGAGAGGTCTGGAGTTAACATGAGATCGTTTGTGGCCCCTGCAGGTGCTGACCACCTCAGAGGAGGGTACGTGCTGTCTTCAGTCCGCGAGTTCTCGGATTGGCGCCTTCAAGAACAGGACAGCTAAGCAAGAGGATCCCAACACATGGCTACCCTGGGTCTTGGCCCAAGTTCTCTTTCTCACTCAATTTCCTTTTAAGCATTATTAAGTATTACTGTTCTTGGTAGTGAAACGTCACCTTAGTAACCACTACGGGCAGTGGTTTGTAAACAGACATTGACAAATACAAACAGCAAGGCAGGAATTGACCCGGACTTTAAAAGAATAGGAGGCGATGGTGGAAATGAGGTAACTCTTCCCCAGCACGCGTGAACAGACACTCCTGCTCTTCTAATGCTCTATGTCCATTAGGGGGGAGTAGGGCTTGTCAACAGGATGGCTACATAAAGAAGAAGCTACAGAGGAGAAAAAAGAAAGATTCAGATTCAAATTTGATTCTTAAAGTTAAAAAAAAAAAAAAAAGAGCTTTTCTACGACAACTGGGGAAGAACAGCAGTGTGTCAGTTAGAGGGCTGACTTCCGGGAGCACAGCCAGGGGTGAGCAGCCAGAGGCCAGGCAAGAAGCGGCTACCTCCGCCGGCCCGGGGGCGGCGCGGCGCCACGGACAACAGTCGGGACAGGAGGGGCTGGGTGGGAGTGGGGGAGAAAGGGAGGCAGAGACCACACGTGACGTACAGGACACCGCACGGCAAGGATCTCGGAGCAGGTGCTGCTGCCCGCACGGGAGCATTTGAAATCCCCCAGACAAGGCAGGAAAGCACGAGACTCTTTCATTCCTATTTCTTTTATCCAATACAAGAATCACGTGTACATACGCATACCAAACAGTGACCAAAAAGAACTCACAAGAGGGCACACGTTGTTTGGGTAAAAATATATTTCCCCCCACGTTGTGTCTTGGCACTAGTGATATATGCAGAGGTGACCTGCCCACCGCTCTCTACCTTAACAGACACCGAATTACTGAGCAAGGTGGCTATGTGATCACTTCCTCACTTGAAAAAAGGAAGACTTCATATCAATACAATTATTTTAGTTTTTAAAAAAGCCAAGTGTCTAACATGCAGCTTACATATATGACAATTCTGCATTAACACCAAAGGTAGATTACACAACACTTTTAGAAACACATTGGTTATTTTCAAACAGCGAAATGACAATGGTCTACAACTACAGTTTAAGGCATATCAGCATATTTTAAAATTAAGAAATAGACAAAGTTCTAATGCTGTTCACAGCTTTTCATTTATTTAAAAAATTCCCTTCATACCTACATACAATCTAGACTTTGTAGGTCATAATTTCCACTAAAGAGTCATCACATATGTATCCTGTCAGTGGAACCAAGACTTCTGGAAGCTGAGAATTGACAATTTCAGACACTTGCAAATGGCAAAGCAGAGGGATCTGAAAGGACAGTTTGGAAGGACCACACACACACAGTATGACATGGGTTGGTTAACAGCTGAAACCCAGATTCAACAGTCTGGATGTGAAACACTTAGGGGTAATGTCAAGAAAGTGAAGAAACCCAGTCCATTCGTTTGAGGTGCACAAGATATGAAGAATAAGTATTATTGCTGGTGAGATTACAAAGCAGAGAAGGAAGATAATAAGTAACCTGTGCCCAATGTGACATTAAATGTTCCCCTGGTTGAGATCCCCTTTCTGGACAAAACTTTGACAAATTAATAAGGAGCCTAAGCTGGGAAAACATAGTCTCTAACTGCAGTCTCTAACTGCCAGTAAATTCTCGTAAATGCCTTTCCGTCATCCTACTGCACATACAACCATTATAGGGACCTAAAATCCAGAAGCAATGGTCATTATTGTTGAACAGAAGATATGGGGAGAGGCCAGCTAGAACTGTCTGGCAAAAAAAAAAAAAAAAGAGGTGTGTTCACTGCCAGCAGTTAGCAGGAAGGAAAGCCCATTAAACCAAGATCAGCAAAAAATTAAGCAATCATAAAGGCAACCTAACATAAAAAATATTTCCCTCTTGGTTTTCTCCAAAGGAAGGTGGTAGTTTCTTATTCTAGCTTTACTCCATAGTCAGAACCAAGGACCCTCTGTAATATCCAGTGATGCCCACATGGCTGTGTGGAATGTAGCCTGGGAACAACAATTTCTGACTCCCATATTGGTATCAAGGAAAAGTTGAATTTGTATTTATCGTGGGAAAGGTACAAATGTGGCTATTTTAAATATATTTAGTATTTTCTTTTTTTCTTAATAAACAAAATCTACTCAAACCAAAACCTCCCTACCTCCCTCCAAAAAAGGGGGGGGGGAGAACCCATCTATCCCATTTGTTTCTCTAATTTTAAAAAGTCAGAAAGATCTCAAAGTTTTCTTACTACTGTACTTACATGCAAAGGCGAAAGCACATCCAATTAGATTTGAGGGTATCATTTATTCCGTGCAGAGCCAAGGACTACTGTGAAAAAAGGCACAGATACAGAAAGAAGAGAAGGGCAGCAACAACAAACCAAACAGGGCCAGGGAGTGGGGGGTAGAAAAAGAGTTCAGAAGCAACATGTTAAAAAAAAAAAAGAGAGAGAGCTTCTAGAACTTTTTGATTTTTTATTCCCTGACTCTCCATATGGTTTCTTTTGTTGTGAAAATCTTCATGGGGGAAAAAAATCAATCAGTCAACAATCTTGGAATCAAAAAGTCAGCTGGATGCCTTTTGCAGCTAGGCTCACTGTCAAAAAGACTTCAGTGATGCATTAAAAATGATAATTTTAAGGTGACCGTTTTTGGAACTTACAAGTATATTTTCTGTTACAAGGCACAAAAATGCTCACACAAGCAGCAGTTGGAACAAGCATACAACACAAGAATTCAAGCTTTTGTCTGGTGCAGAGCGTATGAGCAAATTCAGCCACAGAATCGGCATGCTGTCTAGTATTTGGCTGTTCCACAGCTAGCTCTGGACTAGAATCATTAAAAAACAAAGCAAAACAAAAACATTAGTCCAGTAGCTCCTAAGCCTGTCTTTATACCACCACTGCGGCTTCCAGTTTGCAGGTTCTAGCCCAGCCTGGTTTGGCCTTCAGTGAAACAATCTTTACTTCGCCTAATTAGGTCTACATCAGTTCATGGAAGACCATAACTTCTTTCCCCTAAAAGTATGGTTGAGGATGAAGAGAAGGGAAAAAAACTTTATTGGAATCAACTAGAGACTTATTTAAAAAAAAAAAAAAAAGGTATGTGTGTGTTGGTCAGGGAGATATAGTATATCCTGTCCTATTTACCTAACGTATGACTCGTGAAGGCCAGGAGGAAGCGAGAGGTGGAGTTCATGAGAAATATTATTCTTTCAAGTAAGAAACAGGAGACTACAGAGTTAGAAGGTGGGAGGCTCTTGTTAGTAGAGGGGAGAAAAATCAAGAAGATGAAAGGATAAGCCTCACAAAGGAACAATACAGAAAAGAGATTAAATATGCCCCCTCCCACACAAATGTGGTATGGAGTCTGGGTCACGGCGTTTGGGCTGGCCCTAATCCTTGTTGATGGGGCGATGGGCTCGTAGCGCTAGTCGGGGTAAGGAAAAAGGTGAGAAGATTCCTTCAAGACAACTGGACTTGAGAGACTAGCTGTTCTATTTCTTCTTCCCTTTACTGCCATATACGAGAAGGAGACTATGCAAGGAAGCTGGATGTCAGCTGAACTTCTACCTTCTCCACTCATGGGTTTGTGTTATGTTCCTCCCCATTCCTACCTGAAACTGATGAGGTCCCCTCTCAGAATTGGGGCTGCAGATGATATACAGTTGATAACAAATTTTCTAGTTGAAATATTTCTGAAAATTTTCTCCTCATGATTATTGAAAAGTATTAGAAGTACTGATGTCCTAGAATCGGCCATTGCCCATGGAGAGTATGAAAGAATGCTTATTGTAAGCGGTAGGGAGGCTGTGGAAAGCCTGTCATCTTTAGTAGAGGATGCTTCTATGGGGCCATGTTACCTGACCTGACCTTGAAGATCGCTGACTAGGACAGCGTCAAGGTTGTGCTGATAGAAGGGAATATAATCAGCTTTCTCATTACAGTCCAACTTGGCCAGGATTGGAGAGAGGGGGGTTCAGACACATTTTTAAAGCCATAAGAGGATATGGTCTGAGGAGACCCACAACACAGGTCAAATAATGTTATTATAATAATGAAAAATCCATGCAAATGCAAAAGTCCTAAAAAGCTGACCCACCATTCTGCCTACGTAGGAAGCTACCTTGGTTTGGGCCAGGTATGGAGAAGAGGCAGAGGGAATTCAGGGCTTCTGCCCCCATGGAGATGAGAAATCAAGAGAAACAAACTGTTGTCCTGGGTATTCGGGGCTAGGGTTCAGTGGCTGAGGCGGTGAGTTCTCCTGACAGACGGACATGGAGCCATTGACCCTCCATCCCTCGGTCCAAAGCAACACACAAGCCACAGGCCCGCTTCCTGCTGCCACTCTGAACAGGCATAAAAGGCCAATCATCTGCTTTCCAGAAACAAAGTCCAGCTGCACATAGCTTTTGGTGTTACTCTCTTGCTCTATCATTTTCTACTACCCAACAACAGTCAGCAAAATGAGTTAATAGTTACTGGTGTCTGGGGAAGGGTAAAAAAAAAATAAAATAAAACAAAACAAAAGGACACAGATGGCAGAGATACAATATTACTGCAAAAGCAGGTGAATGCGGGACCATCCTTGGCTTGCCAGGCTTTATGTGAAGCTTGCACTGCAAGTTAAAAAACAAAACAAAAAAGTTAGAAATAATAATAAATAAAAAAGAAAGGAAAATTAGGAGCGCCAGCACCTGCATTCGGTGATGGTGAATGCTCATGCAATGATGATGGAATTGACAGAAATTAAAACCACGAATCTGAGTAAGCTATTCTACATGACAAGCAAAAGCAAAATTTTAATACTGAATTAAAGAACACATGGTTAGTTTCCATTTGCATGTAATTTAGAATTTATGAGTGACTTCTTGAAACCATCGCATGTTATCGTGGAAGGGTTTACTGTTTGATGTTCATTTTCTCAAATAACATAAAACATTATCTATTAGATTTGGGCATCACATCGGTGCTGAAGGAGAGCCGCGTCTTTCCCTTTCTGAGTGGCTGGAGTCAGAGAATAAATCTACAATTACGTCTTTGAACCGTTAGCTCGGGGACTGGAGTACAGTGGGCGGAGGACACGCTATGACGTGCTTGGGAAGGGGCGCAGGCCCGTCACGCCGCGGTTCCGGCCGCCGCCGCGCGGGGGCGCCCCCTCGCCCAGGTGGAGTGCAACACCCGACCCGAGAGCCGCACGCCTCACCTTAGGCGCGTCCGCGCCATGCAACCTCATTCCTTAGCGAGGATCAAAAATAAAACATGAGCGGGCGACCGTATAAACTGTGGTTATCGGATGCCGGGGACCGTTTTAAAATGATGGATTTTAGGACCTCTCGGGATGGATGAAGCGTCACCACCCAGGCCTCCTGGCAACCGTGCAGAGTTTTCTCAAAGGAAGAACGCTGTCCCCTGAACAACTTTTCCCGGGCAGGACCGCACGGTGGCCGCCGTGAACAAGGACGGCACCCTGCCGGCCAGGGAGGCCAGGAGGCGGGGCTGGCTCGACTCTGCTGTCACCTTAGGAAATGCTATGGGCTCTCAGGCCACTACGGGTCAAGAAGCATAAAGCCTTACCTACGTTAAAAAAGGAGCGTGTCATTAGAATAGAAAAACAGAATTTAAAACCACTAGAAACACTAAGTTCATTTTCCAGGCGGAAGCATAGCAAGTGCCTACATAAGCATCTCTTTTTAGAACAATTTTCTCCCTGAAACAAAGCCAGCTCCTAAGGGGCACGTATGGTGACCCCGGCATCTCCTCCGGCTGCGTGAAGAGGCCAAGAGTCTCCCGTTTGTTTTCAAAGTGCTGCCTGGTGACTTTCTGTGTCATCTCCAGCCCAAACTCTCCCGGGGCCCTAAGGGGCGGGGGCGGGGGAGGGAGGCTCTTTAACTTTTCCACCTCAGCTCTGGGACTGGCAGTTGCTTTCAGTGTTCAAATGGGAAAGTTGTAGAAAAGGTTAAGAACCTACCAAAAAAATAGGTGCCATTGTCAGGTACAAACCCTGGTCCCTACTTGTGCACCAGATGAAGTCCAATTCTATTAATAATACATGAGTGTATAAATAAGGCTAAAATAGAATTTACACATACTTCATGTAAACATGAAAAGCATTATACATCGCTAAGGCCCAAGGTTGGGACCAAAATAACCTAAAATGATCAAAAGGGCAAGGAGAAACCTCCTTACCCGGGGAAGCCTGTCACTACATAGACTTTTGTCCAATGGAGGCACAGTGCGGATCAGCTCGTGGAACTTGTGTTGCTTAAAGGCACATCCAGGCAACGGGAAACATCCTCGGAACGTTGCTGGTCTTCTATAAACATCTTTAGTTCTAAAACATGTACCTTTATGCACATTAGTGCTTCAGGGTAAGAAAAACTTGACTTTGGGTTTCCCAAGCTGTGAGTCAGCAGCTTTTTCTGTGTCATCCATTCCTATGTATGTGGACCCACGTGTGCGTGTACCCACTCACACACTCACACACTCTCACACACACTCACACACGCACACGCACACATTTTTATCTTGGGTTAGTTAGGATCAACAAGGGTATGATGCCAAATGACTTCCCTTTCGTCTTCACTGGAAGAGTCACGAATCTCTGAGTCTCCGTGCAGGGAATGTCACCGGAGTGACAACTGCTCTCCCGACATGCACAGCGCTTTCTGGAACTGGATTATAATCCAGGCAGTTGTTATGCTCAGACTTAATCTGGCATAACTAAAGTTTCAGCCCTTGGGGTCCTTGATCCCTCAGGTCTGTACCAACCCCATTAAAATCACACCACACCTACACCAACTACTTTCCATTGCTTAGAAAATGTGCTTACTTCTTTGCTCTCTTGACACGTTTTCTGCTGTCTCAGAGCTTGGAAAGTCCAAGTTTGTAAGGTAGAACTTAAAACCTCTCCGTGCGTCCCCAAAGTAGGGCACTGTGATTTCCGCCACAGGCAACGTGAGGAGACCGGGCAGGGGCGAGTGTGCGTGCTCACCCCCACCCCCTGTGATGGGTCTCAGCTGTCGTGCAGATCCACTCCAGTCTGTGCTACTCTGCAGGATTTAATTCTCTGCCTAGTTGACTACCAACAGCTTTACTGTTTGTCAGCTTTTCCCCTAAAACCCTGGCACCTGAGGGTAAAGGGTAAGGATCCTGAACACGTCCCGAACGGCCGTATCGCTGCCCCGAGAGCACCCCACGCTCAACAGACGCAGGAGGGCAGCGTCCGCGGGCTTGCCATCCGGCCGCCACAAGGGTGTTCCTAGAAGGGACCGTACTGCCCACTGTGCTGTCAACCCTGCCGTGACTGTCCTAGCGCTGCGTTCTCTAGTCATTAAGGTGATCTGACGCAGCACTTCAAATCACGGGACAATCTCACGGCAGGCCCAACTCTCCCACTGGCCTCCGGCGGCCACTACTGTAGTCGTGCTAGGAAGTGACTAACTGAAGAGCAGAAGCTGACCCTTTGGCACATTAAATCAAGGCCATAGCTTAGAATGTTCTTTTGTGTGCTCTGAGGATGGGTGGGGGTGTCTTAACAGAAAGGGTATTTGGATCCCATTCCACAATGAAACGGTTCACCATCTCGTTGAATTTAGGGGGAAACTAGGTGGCCACTAGTAGTTTGTCCCAATCTTCCACTTTGGAGACAAGACTTTCCGTGACTGGCTGACCAAGCCTCGCAACACAGAAGAGAAAAATCTTAACAATCATCATTTTAGGATGCCCTTCGCCAAGAGTCATGAGGATTGTCTCCAGAGAGTAATGAAGAGAAACAGACTGTCTTCTCCAGAGTCCTAGTGTTGGTGCAGAAGATGCCACTGGAGACGGCAGGTTCCTCCAGCCCTGATTGCTTGGTCGTGTGGTCAAGTTTTATAAATTAATGTTTGTGTACCCTTTACAAATACTTTAAAAACCTGTATCATCTTCCCTGCACTGTAGAGAAAAGACTTGCTTTTATCTTTCTGGTAACAGACCAGTTTCCAGTCTGTAAATGGGAAAAGTAGAAACATGCAAGAGGAATAAATTGTTAGAGGGCCCCGAAGCATGGGGGGACACCCGCTTACTTTTTCTTATCCTTGTCTTTCTTGGTTTGCTGGGCCCCAGACTGCTGTGCCTGGGACTGTAGGAGCTGAGCGGCTGCCTTCTTCTTCTGGAAACTGTTCACCTCCTCCTCCAGCTCCTTCTTCTTGTCTTCCACTTTCTTCTTCTCTTCTTGGTGTGTCCGCTTCAGGAGGTCAAACTTCTCATGGAGCTGGAGAGGAAAAGAGGAGGGCAAGCTGGGTGAAGGGAGGGGAAAGTTACTGCTGAAGGTCACGTGGATCCGTTCAAAATCAAAGCATGCTCCATGCTGCCAAGCTGCGTCAGTCCCACGAGGGCAGCACCATCTGGCAAAGCGCAGCCCAGGGAGCCCTACTACGTGCCTTTGAGACTTGGACGCCTTGGCGCTGAAGGGAATCCTGTTCATTCTTACTGACAATAAAATACATATTCATTGTAAGAAGCATAAAGAAGAAAAAAATTATCCATGCTCCTAATTAGCAATTTACCTGAGTGGTAAGAGTAATTCTTTATTTCTGGTCCTTTTTCAAAATGTATAATATACATTTACTTACAGACACACGCGGTGACTACAGAGGATATAGGCTATTCAAAGAGTAAGAATCTGTTGGGAGGTTTCTCACAAATTTCTCGACAAATCGAATTTAGAAAGTTATCACGAGGCAGAAACAAAAGCAGGGAGGAAGGGAGGAAGGACAGAAAGAATTAAGAAAAAAAACTTACTAGATAGTTTTAGATTTTTATCCAGCACCACTTGGTACTTAATGGCCAACAACAAATAAAGATCAACTTTCCTTTCTCGGCAGCAAAACTCTATTGAGTGCTTAGCTATTTAAATAACCACTAAATTTCAGTAGTCTTTATAAGGATAAATTAAAAGGGAATGATGAGGAAATTATGTAGACAATTTGGAAATGTACAGAGCTATAGGTCAAGCACTTGAGATACGCACTTGAGATACTCATTATCTAACATCAGAGACAGATAAATTACTCTCTCTCTCTCTCTGTCTCGATGGAATGAGTGCTATAGCAGAAATCCATGTCAACTTCTAGGAAGCAGTTAATGTGGCCTGGTCGTGGGCAATGACAGGCAGGCACGAGGACATGCCCGCAGAGGGCCCCTCCACCGTTTAGCTCACCGAGTTGGCTGACAGACTACAATAATAATAATAATGGTCCCAGAATCCCAAATCTTACACTGCAAGACTTACAAATTGAGGAAATACGGAGCTACAGAGAACACGGGACCACACCTGGAGACCTAAGGTCTAGTTTTAGTTTCAGCTCTGCTACTTACTACGTATGTGACTACAGAAATCATTTAACCTCCAGGCCTCTCAGTTTTATCATCTCTAAAATGGGGATAAGAATACCTAACCTGCTTTCCTTACCATGTTAGCCTGCTGCTCACGTGATAAGATACACGTAGAAAGTACTTAGGAGAGCATGAAGTTCTAGAAAATGTGACGTATTAATAATACACCTCGCTTATTTGTCTCTGCTCTGAAGGAAGACAGATGGCTTACCTCTTTCTCTGCCTCTTTAAGTTCAGCTTCTTTCTCCTTCACTCTCATCACAAACATTTGCCTCATTTCTTCTTCTTTCTTCTGAAGTTCTCCCAGAAATTCATTTCTTTTCGCTTCGTAAGTCTCCTGAAGACTATTCAAAAGCCACAAACCAAGGATAGTGTTGTGAAGTTGAATAGGAAATCTCAGCTCATATAATTTCTACTCATTGCTTCCAAAAAATAGATGAGGCTGCCACTTACTATGTTAAAGGACACATAAAATGGCACACCACCTTCTTTTTAGTTATGCAGGGATCAGAAAGACAAGCACATCGAGAACCGGGGGTGAGTCAGTAGGCACGCAGTAGCCCTACAGACATGTCTTACCGGCCACGCTTACCCTGTGTATCTTCACACAGGGAAAGCCTGGGTTGGGCTGGCCCGTATCTTCCAGATCAGCAAACAAGGCAGACACCAAGTAAGAGACTTTTAGGAGACGAAGTCAGCATAGCGTAGGGAGAGAATGCAAAGGCACTGGAGCCACACGGGCCAGGGTTTGGATTCTGGCCACAGCAACTTACTGACCGATCTTGGGAAGGGCACAGTCCCTAAGCCTCAGTGTTCTCTGTCTAAGATGTGGACACAACAGCACTTACCTTCTAGGGACAGGACTGTGGGTGTTCCATGGGGGCAAAGTGAGGAGAGCATTCGACATACCCTCTGTGGCAAATACTACCTCCCTTCCCCCATTCACCTCCCTGCAGTCCCCAATTCAGAAAATGGATTCAGTGAACCATCTAAAGAGACAATGGTATATCTAAAGATATTATAGAAAATTGCTACTTCAAGTTATATTACCAACTGTAAATAGAGCAGGCAGGAGTTTTATTTTTATCTTAAACCCCAACCGCCTCCTGACTCTCTCTGGAACTTTGAGCCCAATATTTTAAATCAAATGCCAGACTCGGCTTTATCTCTAAGTCAGAACAAATACATTGACAGAAAAATTGGTAACACAACTTAGAAAACACACCCCCATATCCACACCTACACAAACAGAGAAACACTTGCTGATATTTGATAAGGTGTTATTTCTATTTCTCCCTTGCAGTTTCCCTAGAACAAGACTTGTTACAGTAACACGGGTCTGCAGGATTATCCACCTTTACCCGTGGACTGAATTCACCCAAAGTGCTGACTCCAAACTGGAAAGCACGTGTGGATAACCCTGGCCACCATGCAGAGCCACCTCCCTGCATCCACACTTGTCCTTTTAGAAGGAGAAAAAGGACATTCAGGACATTTACAATGCATGTAAATGATTAGAAAGTGTATTCATTAGGATTGCTTATAATTCTGTAATCAACACTTTCATTGGTTGATTAAAAACATGTTCTCCTGGGGCGTTTGGGTGGCTCAATCAATTGGCTGTCTGACTCAACTTCGGCTCAGGTCATCGAGCCCCGAGTCAGGCTCTGCGCTGGGCATGGAGGCTGCTTAAGATTCTCTCCCTCTCGCTCTGCACTCCCCCTGCCCCCACTGCTCACGCGCACTCTCTCTCAAAGAAAAACAAACAAAAAAACGTTCTCCTGTCCTCAAGAATTTCAACACTACCTGTTAATGAACAATCAAGTACTTTGAGTTTCCAGAGTTTCATATTATCTTTTGAAACAAAAACAATTTTGGCCAATGTTGACATTGGCTAATATTAATAGCAGTACTTGGACTTGAAATTTAGTCTTAAATTATTGGCACAGAGATATAGAAATGTACTGATAGAACTAATTCATGAATTTGATCTTGCTTGTTAGCATCTAATGAACTCTTCTTCACCTTTATTTAGAACAGAACTGCCAAAAGCAGATGACCTGTCCCTGGTACAAAATTTTAAGGGAAACTTTATTTTATGATAATGAATATAACTGCCAACTTCTTTCTAACAAGGAGGGGAACACCTTTTACAGAAACACTGCCCAACATGTGTTCTGGAGATCACTAGTTTTTTTTTTTGTTTTTTTTTTTTTTAAAGATTTTATTTATTTATTCATGAGAGACAGAGAGAGAGAGAGAGGCAGAGGGAGAAGCAGGCTCCCTGCCGAGCAGGGAGCCCGATGCGGGACTCGATCCCGGGACCCTGGGATCATGACCTGAGCTGAAGGCAGACGCCCAACCATCTGAGCCACCCAGGCACCCTGGAGATCACTAGTTTTAAGAGATCTTCAGAAGAGGGGTTCCTGAGGCAAGAGAGTAAAGGGAAAACGCTCTGTGAGGTCTCCTGTTGGGAGAGTCACAGGCACAGTGGCTCCCAAGCCCGGCAGCATGTCAGGATGGCCTGGGTATGTTTTATTGGACTTCTAAACAGTTTGCTAACCCCACTCCTGGAGCTGCTGATTCAGGATGGCAGGCGAAGACAAAATAATCTGTATTTTTAAAATGCTTCCAGGTGATTTAATGTAAGTCGTCTGCCAACCACTGCTTGTTTTAAATGCTCTAACAGTCCTTACGTACAAGAACCTGTTTATTAACTTAGAGCTCCCCAAAACCGTTTAATCGTGGAAGCTTTTTAAGTAACCCACAGAGAGAATGTACTTTAGGTAATGCTACCTAGAATATGAGAACCCTCACGATAAGTCTGCCTTATGCAGTCCCAGCCCCAACCTAGCTTATGCTCTGGTTTCTGGAGATATGTTTTCAAACTATGGGTCATGACCCAAGTGAGGGTCTTAACCAATATGTTAAATGAAAAAGCTTAACAGAATAGGATAGAAAATACCAGAGTATTGTGCTGCAAACAGTAAGAGCAGTTGTACTTCCAAATTTGTACACTGGATCATGATGCAGAACCCATTTATAGTGAAGGTTGCCACCCAAAGTCAGAAAGCCCGTGTCCTCGAAAAAGGCGATTAGGCAACACTACGCCTTGCCAGACAGGCTTGGCCAGGAGACTCAGCGCAGCCTCGGCGTCCAGGCCAGAACAGGAAAGTGGTACTCAGACCATCACTGTGCCCTAGGATATGAACCAGGCTTTGAACTCGGACACTGGAAATGATAAGCAACACTCAGGAAATCATAAGACCCTACTCCAAGGAGTCACAACTACAGAGAGATACTGAGAAATGATTTCAAACAACCACACACTCATGGGGTCAAAGTCCCCAGAAGCCTCTGGCAGTTAGTTGCAAACAAGAGACCAGAAACCCTCACTAATGCTTCCGGTCAGTAAAAACCAGTTGAGAAGGAACTGGTTCTGTCATCCACTCACACATCCCTAACGAGATGACGTCTTTGGCAATTTTTAGCTCTTTCAACTTAATTTTTAATTGTAGTTATTTACACCCTTTTCTCAGTGTGAAATGTGCAATTTTTTCATGAGGTTTTAAGCTGGATTGAAACCACAAATTCTATCTTCTCATTTTCTCACTTTTTTAATTAAGATTTTATTTTTAAGTAATCTCTACACCCAATGTGGGGCTCGAACTCACAACCCTGACATTAGGGGTCGCATGCTCCTCTGACTGAGCCACCCAGGCACCCCTCTTCTCGTTTTTTTAACAGCCCTACGCAGGGATAGGTGTCACTCACCGAAGTCAAAGGGAAGGAGAATTGAGTACAGGTAGTTCAGTTCAGACTTCATTCTGGTAATTCACACAACATAATTCTCTCTCTGTTCCAATCCCCAGGAACTACCCGGTGAAGGGCATGCCAAAGAACACATCACCAGTGTTTACGAAGCAATTTACACACGAGAATTCATCAATCCTCACAATAACCCAGTAAGGTGGGTATTACTAACTATCCCCCATTTCCTAGATGAAGAAACCTGGATACAAGTGTTTAGTCATCTGTCTAGGTCACACAATGAAGAAGCTCAGACAGGAGTTCTACCCACTACACTGCACAGCTGGTGAACCGAGGTCCACACGTTCCCCTCAAACAAATGGGTCTCATGGACCTGAAACTTTGTGATCTCTTGAGAGAATGGTGGTTACTAAGCCCTTTTTGTGACCTAAGAGAGTCAGGAAAAGGAGGCATTCTGAGATAAGGAATGGGCAGCTTGGACGGGAATTGTTGGGAAAAGGGCAATGGTGTCTCAGGAGAAAAGCAGCAGGAACAAGATTGGTGCGGTCCCCACTTGGGTCCTACATCCCCCTCCTCTTCTCCAGACACTAGCCACAAAGCAACTGAGGTCAGGGGAAGGGAGACGTGGGTGCAGAGAAGGTCCAGAAGGCTGTAGGGCAGCAGGTGGGAAAGATGGGCACAGCGGAAAGCAAGCTGACATCTGGACAGGTATGTACACAGATACAGAGATTCTGCCACAGGACAACTCTGAATTGAGGCAGGTTCAAGGACACCAGCAGGGACGGCCTCAGCTTTACAGCCTCCGATGTACTTCCCAGTACAGCCTTTCATACAGCCTGTTACTTGCTCACCCTGCTTTTGCTTCACACTGTACAATATATTCGGGTGATGGCTGCCCCTTCCTAGCCTTGGTTTTAGAGGTCACTGTCTGCTTCATAAACACAAGAGGGGCTTGGAGGACAAAGGGTAGACACAGGGTGCTCAAAGGGAAGGATGGACTTCATTGTACACCTGCAGAGAAAGCCTCTGCTTTGAGAATATACTTAATACCCATCCCAGCTCACCCAAAATTCCCATGGAAAAAAATCTAAGAGCATCCAGGAATGAGGATTTCGAAGATGAAATTCTGGAAAGCCACTCAAATCAGCTGCAGCTTTTTTGCTTTTCCTTAACTGTGTCATCTTTCAAGCAGGGTCCCCTCACTGCAAAACCCCTCTCCCTTCAGTGTGGTCCGAGGCTCATAGGAAGTGCTGGGGATGCTGGAGATGCCTCAGAGGGAAAGTCTGAGCCCCTTTTAAGGTAGTGGCTCTCAAGAAATGGAAACCAAGTTGATTTCACCTTCCTATTTGCCAAGTCAGTTGATTCAAAGCCAGTTTTGATGTTCCAAATGATCTTGCTTGCACCAAGATGGACACCTGAGTTTAAATGATGGATTTCTAAGAGGACAAACCATTTCCAGAGTTCCCAGTAACTGAAATGAGAGCAAGTATTTCAGAAAGTCTACTTTTCTCTACTTATTTTTTTTATGCAGGGAAAAGAGTAAAGGCTTTGGATGTATATTTATAATCTATTCCCCCTTTTCATTATCAAAAAGGAAACCTCAGTCCCCCAATACTTTATTTTTGCTTTTGTTTCCCTTGCCTGAGGAGACATATCCACAAAACATTGCTACAGCCAATGTCAGAGAAACTGCCTGTGGTCTCTTCTAGGAGTTTATGGCTTCAGCTCTCACATTTAGGTCTTTAATCCATTTTGAGTTTATATTTGTGTATGGTATAAGAAAGCAGTCCAGTTTCATTCTTTTGCATGTAGCTGTCCAGTTTTCCCGACACCATTTGTTGAAGAGACTTTCTTTCCCCCATCGCATATTCCTGCCTCCTTTGTTGTAAAGTAACTGACCATGTAAGTGTGAGTTTATTTCTGGGCTCTCTATCCTGTTCCACTGATCTCTCTGTCTATTTTCACACCAGTACCACAGTTTCAATTACTACAGCTTTGTAACATATCTTGAAATCTGGGACTGTGATACCTCCAGCTTTGTTCTTCTTTCTAGCTATGTCTCCTCAGGCAAGGGAAACAAAAGCAAAAATAAACTACTGGGACGACATCAAAATAAAAAGCTTTTGCAAAGCCAAGGAAAGCATCAGCAAAACTAAAAGGCAACCTATTGAATGGCGAAGATATTTGCAAATGAGGTAGCTGATAAGGGGTTAATATCCAAACTATATAAAGAACTTATACGACTCAACACCAAAAAAATCCAATTAAAAAATAGGCAGAGGATCTGAACAGACATTTTTCCAAAGAAAACATGCAGATGGCCAACAGACACCTGCAAAGATGCTCAACACTGCTCATCATCAGGGAAATGTAAATCAAAACCACAATGAGATATCACCTCATGGCCAGTATCAAAAAGACAAGAAGTAACAAGTGTTGGTGGGGATGTGGAGAAAAGGAAACCCTTACACACTGCTGGTGGAAATGTAAACTGGTGCAGCCACTCTGGAAAAGTGTGGCAGTTCCTCAAAAAATTAAAAATAGAAATATCATACAATCTAACAATTCTACTACTGGATATTTACCCAAAGAAAATAAAAATATTAATTTGAAAAGATATATGCACCTTATGTTTATTGAATATTACTTACAACAGCCAAGATAGGGAAGCAACCTAAGCGTCCATCAATAAGTGGATGGACAAAGAAAATGTGGCATATATCCACAATGGAATATTATCCAGCTATAAAAAAAGAATTAGATCTTGCTGTTCATGACAAGAGGGATGGAACTTATGCTAAGTGAAATAAGTCAGGCGGAGAAAGACAAATACCATATGATTTCACTTACATGTGGAATCTAAAAAACAAAACAGATGAATAGGGACACCTGGGTGGCTTAGTCGGTTAAGCGTCCAACTCTTGGTTTCGGCTCGTCATGATCCCAGCTCGTGGGATCAGGTTCTGAGTCAGACTCTGTGCTCAGTGCACTCTCCCTCTCCCTCTGCCCCTCCTCCTGCTTGTTCTCTCTCTCTTTCTCTCTCTCAAGTGTTTAAATAAATCTTTAAAACAAAAACAAATGAACAAAGTAACAAACAAAAACCAGACTCTTAAATATAAAGAACAAACTGATGGTTGTGGAGGGAGGGGTGTGATAGATGAAATAAAGAGGAAGATGGATATAAATAAAAGAAGATAGAAACAGATCAAGTTTGTACCAGTTATAAAATAAATCCGTCATGGAGATGAAAAGTACACCCCAGGGAATATAGTCAATGAAACTGTACTCATGTTGCTTGGTGACTACACTTCGCATGGTGAGCACTGAGTACTGCACAGAATCATTGAAGCACTACGTTGTACATCTAAAACTAATAAAATATTGTATGTTAATTATACCTCAGTAAAAAAATAAACAAATGTGAGATTACAGTGAGGTATAAAAACAAAAAGCAAAACAAAGAAACCTTAGACCAGAAGAAATGGAACCAAATGGGAGCAGAAGATGTGTGAATAAAGCATACTGTCTACAAGTCAGAAGGCCTGGATGACATCTGCCACCATCCCAGAGTCCCAGAAGTCAGGGAGGCCTTGCAGAAGCCAGCTGGAACCGCCCAGCAACTCCACCTCCTAGTGGGCACTTACCCTGGGCTTGCAGGAGGAATTTTAATTTAAATGCCAAAAACAGAGGCAGCAGAGGAGGAAATAGTCTTTTCCAAGGAACTGCGGCCCCTACTGTGTGCCCAGACACACCTCTCATCACCTCAACTGAAATCTCCATTAAGACTGCTGTGTGGGCCCAGGAAGGACAAAGCTAATCCTCTGCTGAGCCCAGAGGTGGTAAATCTGGCCCAGGATCCCCACCTCCCCTTACCACTCCTCAGCCAAGGTACTCAGCCCCTGCCGCCCCTCCCCCACCACCAGGTTCTGACAGCAACGGGGCCTTTGCTAGGCTGCTAAGTCTACATTAATTTTGGTATTCTCCCCTTCACGTTGGGCCTCTTGGTCCCCATCCATCTAAGATGTGGGAAAATACACAAGACATTTTCTACAAGTTAGTCCCCTTCCTCCTCATTAGTAGCTAGCATTATACTGAACCACTGAGAGCTGGGAAGAGCCTTGGGAAGGGAGACCTGGCCGGCAGCCACGAGCGCAGCATGCTGGAATGAGCGGCCACAACTCGGTAAACCCCTGGGCTGGGCCCTGTGCCTCTGTGAGTAGAGTGGTGCAGAGCAGGGGTTCACTTTCTACTTACAGGACCTTGGGTAGGTTGTTTACACTTTCCGTGCCTTAGTGTCCTGACCTGTAAATGAGGAGGATGATGACAGCAACTACATGGGGTAGTTGAGATAATGCCAATAAAGTGATCACGATGCCTGGCAATTATGCTACTAATGTGTCCCCACCAGGTCCCTCTATCACTGTTTTCTTAATCCAACAAGCATTTCTTTTTTAAAAAGATTATTTATTTGAGAGACAGAGATAGAGTGTGTGTGTGTGTGTGTGTGCGCGCGCGCGCACGCGCGCACGCCTGAGCCCATGCAGGGGGAAGGGCAGAGGGTGAGAATCCTGAAGCAGACTCCCCACTGAGCACAGAGCCCAACGTGGAGCTTGATCTCACAACCCTGAGATCATGACCTGAGCCGAAACTAAGAGTCGGCCACTTAACTAACTGAGCCACCCAGGCGCCCCAATCCAATAAGCATTTCCATGATGCACCAACACACCACTCAAGCCACTATCCAGGGAACAGCTGATTGCTAGGTGCCCTCATACCTGAAAGGCTTGCTGTCAGGGTCAGTGTCCTTGAAACCCATCTCCTCGAGCTTACAGCGCCGATACAATTCATAATGGCGGGTGTGAGTCTGCTCTCGCAAATCTTCCATGTTCACACGGATCAGCATCTCCCGAAGTTTCACGAAATCACAATGGTTTTCATTCTCAACTGCGAGAGATGGGAAGGTGGGGGTGGCTATTAGCAACGATATCCCCAAAATCTGAAGTGACACTTTCAAGAGGTGATCACCATCGCTCCTGAAATCTCTGAAGTCTCAAAGCCATCTGCAGACCTTTACTGGATTCACCTCACCTTCCCAATGAGGGCAAGATTGCTGACAACGCGGACCATGACACTGATGACACGAGTGACTGCAGAGGGCCTGCTCGAGGCAGGGCACTGCAGGAGGAAGTTTGTAAATATGGTCTTTACTCTTCAGAATAATTCTGCCAAGTAGGCATTGCGACTCTTGCCTTTCAGATGCAGAAGCAAGGCTGTGATGAGCATGCTGACCTCCCGAGTAGAGGTAGCAGAGTCTACATTTAAACACCCCAACATCGGGCTGCAAAGCCAGGTCTATCTAGTTCCACTACTCCATGCCCCCTGGAAGTATACAAGGCAGTTCTTACATACCGCTTCTTTTAATTTTATCAACACTATGAAAAAAGTTCTATTGTAGAAAAATAGGTAATAGTCATAAAAATTAAAATTTTCCCAGGAATCCCAAAGGTGTAATTTCTTCTCACTTCTCACAGATTTATTGCCTTTATTCAGAACAAAAGAAAAGGAGGACTGATAGATCTTAAACCAATGAAGGAATTTTCTGTAGTGATCCTACTTAACCTCTAACATTGGGCATCTTCCTTCAATAGGTACAAGGGGAGCAACATATGGGAACCAAGCAACATATGGGAAGCTTCTTTAGATCAGAGACTGTGGTCATGTCCCACAGTGCCAAACTAGGTCAGATAGCCTTATAATTCTCCAGTATTTACTGAGATAACATTTAACTGGAAGACAAGTTTTCCAGAGATAATGGAGAAACAAGTATCCTCTTATTTACAAGAAATGTTTTGCAGCTTCTTTATACTTTGCTGGTGAAACTGGTATGAGAGTGGCTGAAACTGCTAGGCAAGAACTCTTTTCCATCAGGAATGTATGCTGAATTTGCCGCACAAGCCAACATTCTTGAGGGGCTACCACAATGGCACTAGGGCTCAGCACTCACCTCCCCCACGGTCTACCTACCTGGTCACCGTGTCTTGCTTCCTCGCTTGACGACTGTCATGTGTCTAACCCTACTGCTCTCTTCCTCCTGCCTATGGCTGAGCACCTCCCCAAACACAGCAGGGAGGGAAGGAACGTGGACAGTCACCGCAGGGGCTGAATGTAAAGACACCCTTCCCGTACTGCGCACCTACCCTGCACCACACCCCAGGGGTACTGCCTGGCCTTTGCCATCTTGTTGCCGATCTTCACCTCTTCGGTGCTGCCGACCACGGCAAATGGGAGATGGACCTGTGAAGCGACACAAGGACAGAGACGAGTTACCTTCTCCAGCTCCGCCCTCTTCTGCAGGCCTCACTTGGTGGCAGGAGAAAACAGGGAGGGAGGGGAGGAGAGGGAGGAGAGGGTTGGGGCTCTGCAGGTCAGTGGGGTTGGGCTGCGTGCACCCCACCCTTTCTACAACCAAATACGGACTAGGTGATAGGAGCTAGCTTCAAGGGAAGCGGCAGGAGTCTGCACCCACACAGGAAGCTTCAGACTCGTGTTGTACAAGACCACAGCCACTAATATGTGTGGCCACTGAGCACTTGAAATGAGGCTTGTGGGATTAAGACACTGAATTTTTAATTTTATTTACTTTTAATTCATTTACACTTAAATTTTAAAATGGAAGATAAAATATTTTTCCATTAAATAAAATTCTGTTGTTTGGGGACCACACTTCATTTTGCTTCAAACTCAAATCTTCTAAGAAAAGAACCAGTTTGCTCAATGTGGGTGCAAACATTAGAGGAAACTTATCTTTTTGGTAGTTATTTCATATTGAAAAACTTTCAAGTATGTTAGAAGCAACTTGAGTATTCATCCAAATTGGGATATGCTGTAATTATAAAATATACATTGGATTTCAAAGACTTACTGTCAAAGTATCTCATTAATTTTTATATTGATTACATGTTGAAATGATAATATTTTGAATATATTCAGCAAGGCTTTTAAATTAATTTCACATTCCCTTTTACTTTTTTTTTTATAATGCCACTTCCGCCACATTTTTTTAAAGATTTATTTATTTATTTTGAGAGAGAGAGCCCAGAGGGAAGGGCAAAGGGACAAAGAATTCCAAGCAGACTCTATGCTGAGCACAGAGTCCGACATGGGGCTTGATCTCACAACCCTGAGATCAGGACCTAAGCCGAAACCAAGAGTCCGATGCTTAACTGACTGAGCCACCCAGGCAGCCCCTTTTTACCTTTTTAAATGTGACTACTGCAAAATGTTAAATTACTTGTGTGACTCATATTATATTTCTATTGAACAGCATTGCTTTAGATAGTTGGCCATTGCACAAAATTCAAGTCAGAAATACACTTTAGACCAAATTACTGGCCCAAGCCTTGCAGCCCAGACTTATCTCAAGCAGAGGTGGTGTTCAAGACAACGGACTGTTCCACATTGATTTCTTTGGTACCTATGGCTACATTCTGGGAGTAGGGGATGAAAGGGATAGTAATTCCACCTTTTTTCTATTAGCATATAAGAATAAGAAGATTTGAAATGGCTGTTCCGAGACATATTATCTCGAGTTCCTTGATCCACTGCTCTTCTACTGCAGAGAAGCTGAGAAAGACAAGAATGTTTCAAAGCCAAATCCTCTCCCACAGAGGGCATAACCCCCCAGGCTGCCCAAGTGGTATTTCGAAGATGCTCAAGATAGTTCTATTTTCTGGTTCATCTCACACTCTGGAGAAAGGAAGAAAGCACATTCTCTTTCTCAGACTCTGAGTCTGGAACTGTAACATGCTCCCTGAAGTTGAGGAGCACCAGGACCCTTCCAGCCAACATTTTGGTGTAATGACCCAAGAAAACCGTTTTCTCTGCTCACCCTAAGGGACAAAAGCAACTGCCAAAGAAATCTGTTTTCCACCTATCACGTGGGATTTCATCACCAGGAATTGCTTGCAATGGAGAGCCTAAAAAACAATTTCTTGTTGAAGAACAAGATTAATTTGGGACAACCAGCTCAATTAATCAGATAAAGAGAGAAAGAGCCAAGATTCATGGCTCTTTTCTTTCCAAGAAATTTAACACAAATTTAGTTGCATGACCATCCAAAATGATTTAAGAGGATGGGAAGGGAAATAAAGAAAAAATTAGAAGATATTCATTCACGTTATTTCTCGAATCCTACACTGACATCCCAAATCACGGCTCTGCAACAGAATAAACAGTGCTGCCCCGCCCGAGCTCCTGACAACACCATAACACGAGCTAGCTGCTCTGCGGGCGTCACTCCCATCGGCCCCGCTGACATTTGTGCCACGTGAGGGGCGGGCTGCCGTCTCCTCTCACCTGAATACCTACCCACGGGATTGGTGTGGGCACTAAATGTAAATGAAGCCTCAAGCAGCGGCTGGTGCACAGTAAATGCTCCATAGATGTCAGAAACGTCAGGCGCTATGATTATTAAGAAAGCTCTCGGTACTCACAACCAGAGAGTTCTAGACGTGGAGAAGACCTCACATGCTACCTGTTTCGATCCTGCTTAGGAACTCCCTCTACCACAGCTCTTCTAAGTGCTTTGATTCAGAATCTGTGGTCCACCCCCCGGCAGTGGGAACACGCTCCTTCCACGGGGTGCTTGCTATGCTGCGGTGGTCCTGATGGCCAAACCCCTCACTGCCGTTCACTGTTGGTTTCAGCTCTGTCTTTTGAATAAGAGCAGTCACTCTCCCCTATGACAACCTTCCTTTCACACCCCCTCAGGCCATCTCCTCAGGAAGAATCTGCTTCCCAGTTTCCAGAAGTTCCAGAGGCTTTACTATCCTGACCACAGGAGCATGGCAGCCACAGTGGGTCATACAACTCAGACTGTGACCAGACTAGAACAGAGTGGAGCTGGGCTATCTTTGCTTTAATAAGTTCCTAAATTTTAAATTCATACAATAGTCCCAGAGAGGGGAGGAGCTGCATTGACTTCCAAAGTCCTAGGCATATCAGGAATAACTTAAGGAAGAAACAGCGCTACACAGAAAAGTCCGTATGTTGGGGGCGCCTGGGTGGCTCAGTCAGTTGGGCGTCTGACTTTGGCTCGGGTCGTGATCCTGGGGTCCTGGGATCGGGCCCCACATCGGGCTCCCTGCTTGGAGGGGAGTCTGTTTGTCCCTCTCCCCCAGCTCATGCTCTCTCTGTCTCTCTCCCTTAAATAAAGAAATAAAATCTTTAAAAAGAAAAGAAAAAGAAAAAAAAAAAAAGAAAAGTCTGTATGTTGAACCGAAGAAACAAGGAGTTTTGTGGTATAACCCTGTTCTCCTAAATTATGATGGCAAACAACACAGATGTGGGACCAGGGTTGAAATCTCAGTGCTGCTATTAGCTGGCTTTGACCAAGGCATTTAATTCTCCAGATGAGCTTCAGTAGGAGTCCCCTTCATATGAAATGTCTAGCATAGGCAAATCTATAGAGATAAGAAAGTTGAGTGGTGGCTGCCTAGGGCTGGAATGGTTAGAGGGTTGACTGCTAAAAGGTACACAGTTTCTTTTTGGGGTGATGAAAAGGTTCTAAAATTGATGGTGGCAATGGTTGTACAACCCTGTGAATATACTAAAAACCACTGAATTATATGCTTTAAATGGGTAAATTGTACAGTATATCAATTATATCTCAATAAAGCTGTTAATTAAAAAAAAAACAAAACAGTGCCTTTAGTGCATTTAACGACTTCATTAGACACTTTTCATGACCAGATCTAAGGGAAGTAGAACATAGCTCAACCTACTACAACTTAGACTGACTTCTGCTGCCCAACAGCATCCTTTTGGATCATTTTTTAGCACGTATCCAGGGAAAGGCAACTTACTTAATAGCTTCTAATTGCATTTCACTGAAGCTAAGCTACAATTTTAAGAATTCCAAAAACCATCATTGGGCATCTACTACGTGCAAAGAACGCTACTTTTACAGAAGTTATGCATTCCTAAGTGGAAAAAAAAAAAAGTATAGTAATTGTGGCCCAGAGATGAGCCATGCCTGTGAGATACAAAAGAGGCAGTGGGAAAGATGCAGGCGTCAGCGGGCAGCATGGAGGCTCACCACGAGACATCATATCGCAGGTGCACCTAAGAATTGCTGAAGCTTTTGTCCTTTCTCTTCTGACCATCCTGCCTGTGAGGTGAAGAAATTATACCTCGACTGCCAGTTAACCCAATGGTTCAGGAAAGGGTAGGAGAAGCAGAAAGGAGGGAGAAGCAGAAAGGGGGGAAAGGCAGGAACCCATCACAGAAGTCAAAATGAGGCAGGTGGACATATTTCCGCCAACAATGCCAGAAACAAGCAGAGATCTATTTTCTGTAAGCTGCTTTGTATGAGATGGTGCGGGCAGGCATTCCCTTCCCACAAGACTGGCTATAGAAATCTTATCTGTTGGAGTGGGAAGGAAACTGGAGATTAGCTTGCCTAAGTTTCCCATTTGACAGATGGAGACACTGAGGAGCAGGGTGGTTAAATGCCTTGCCATAGTGACAGGGCTGGACCACACTGAAGAATCAGATTCCCGGTCCAGGGTTCTAGTCACTCTACAATGCTGCTGCCAAGAAAAGCTTTCAGGAAAATTACCGGTAGGTTCTTCCTAACTTGAGGACTTACGCTCATTGTTGCATTAATCTCCGCCACCGTTTCTTCATCTGTGGGGAACTGATATATCTGGACTCCATTGCTGACCAGTTCACTCATGATCTTACTCTTGAATTTGTGCAGTTCATTTTTGGCAATGGTGTCAGCTTTTGCAATTATTGGAATGATGTTCACCTATAAAACAAACACATCTATTTTTACACAATTCCAATGTAAGAAAAATAAGACAAATGAATGAAACATAATAAACAACAAAAATTGTAAAGCTTCACTTAAAAAACAGAGATGATATTGAAAATCAGACTTTCTGCCCAGATGCAAAATTAAGAAGATATGGGATAATCTTTTAGCTCCATCTGTGAACACTTTTACTTCCTCCCATCCGGCACTGAGAGCATACTTGTAATTTCCTCTTCTGTGCTACCTCATTTTTTTTTCTTTTTTTTAACAGACTAGAAGGAAGTGTTACTCTATGACAAATAGCGATAACAAAGCCTATTCTTTCAATAACCAACCACTCCTTTTAGACCCCTCCCAGCTACTTTAGGAGCTTGATTTTAGCATGTTCCTAACAGTGTAATAGCCAAGACTGTGTTAGTCAGAACAGTGGAATATCCAACTCTCCCAGGATAACATCCTCTCTTTTTTTCTAATGACTGCTAGGAGTGGAGAATCTATGTATTCACTGAAACAAAAACAGTTTCACCTACTTTTAAAATTCTCAAAATCATACCAACTAATTCTCTTGAAACACTGGTTTCTATCACATTACTTCTTCATACCAGAATGAGACCTGGTGCCAAAGACAAGGCTCACTTTCAGGGCACAGGCTACAAAGACCAGGAAGAAGGCCAAGTTTGACAACCGTGGCAGAAAGCCCAGCGTGAAAGCCAGGGACACCCTCAAGCACAAGCCCCAAACCCCAACGTCAGTCATTCTTCCAACTTTCCCCAGCACTGTCCACACAGCACATTTTTTAAAATTCCTTTTTTAAGATTAACTGTCCTCCACTCCGTGGTAGGTACAGCGCTTTCATAAGACACTACGGACATCCAATACCTGGGGCCATGCTTTCCACCCAGCTCAGGGCAAAGAGAGACAGACTTGGTGAGAAAGCCGTCCTAGCAAGAGAATGAGGGAGTCTTTAAGGAGGTTTTCTTGGTCATGTTTTACTTCCTTTGCTTCTCCTTTTATTCCAAGAGCCAAATCAAAATCTCTGATACATCACAATGAGGAGACATGTGGATAGAAAAACCTATTCTTCCCCTATTCCTCTACCCACTCCTACCCTCATTGTGCCTAGGCTCATCCAGCAAGTCACAGACCGAGAAACACACTGGTGGTGGGGAAATGTGTGGGTCAGGACCCGAGGAACAAAACACTAGCCCGTTGTTCTTACTGGCTATCTTTTGTACACACTTAGCATTCAGTTAATATTACAGACAAAATGGCAGAGCGTCATAGTTTCTTGGGCCACTCTGATCAGAGTAGATAGATGAACAAAGCAATTTAGATTTAAAATCTTCTTCCTTGGGGGGCCTGGGTGGCTCTGTCAGTTAAGCGTCTGCCTTCAGCTCAGGTCATGACCCCAGGGTTCTGGGATGGAGTCCCGCATGGGGCTCCTTGCTCGGCAGGGAGCCTGCTTTTCCCTCTCCCACTCCGCCTGCCAGTGTTCTGTCTCTCTCTCTGACAAATAAATAAACTTAAAAAAAAAAAATCTTCCTTGGTAGCAAGTGCTTGAAAAATCTTTTCTGGAATTATCATATATTTGTGACCTATATAGTTAAGAGCCTGAACTCTTCACTTTGCTTGTATCAACAAACCTTTTTGCAAATACCATTTTCAGATGCTCTCCAGCATGCCCAGCTCTACAGCAATAGTGATTCTTTGAAGGCAGTTTAACTTGCTTTCTGGGGACTTTTTTGTTAGTTTGTTTCCAGCTGTGTTTACTTTGCCGTATTTTCGTTCCTTTTTTCCCTTTTTAACTCAACTCTACTAAGCATAACCCTGTTGTTGAATATTAGCCTGGCTTGGCCCACCGACGTGGCCTCAGTCAGGAGCCCTCCTCCGTCCCTGCCTGTCCCCCAGCCCTGTGGCCAGGACAGGACAGCCCAGGGAGCCTGCCTCGCAGCCCAGATCCTTCCGCCGTCCGTGGCTAAATGCAGCTGAAACAAATGTGATGGAGAAGGGTTTCCGTGTGTTCTCGGGAGAGCACTCCAGCTGCGGTAATCCACTCAGGCCATCAGACTATGTTTCTGTAAACCCGAGCGTCTGCACGTGCTGGAAGCCTAGGAGCCTGGCTCTGCGTCAGCCACGGCCGGCGCTTTGGCCGCAAGTCCAGACAGAGGCCGTGGGGACAGGCTGCTCTTCCGAGTGTTCTCTGTCATGTTCCTCTGGAGAGAGAGCATCTTTCCGACAGTGTTGTTTAGACAAAAAAATTACACCCAACAAAACCCTCTAGAGATGGTAAGACTCTTCATGGAACTCAAAAAGAAGGTTAGGAGAGAAAACACCACAGCTTCTTTTGGGGGGTCCTTCCCATTGTCGTTTGCTTCTTTGTTTTCAGAATGTACTGTCTTCCATTTATTTCAAAATGAAAAAATCAAATTAATTGTAAAGTAGGTCACTAAACGTTATCAAACTTATCAGGACTTTCCTTCAAATGTTGTGAAAGGGAGAAGTTATTAATGTGGAAAGCTCAGGTGTCAAACGGAAACTACTTTGTAAAAACACACGGGTACAGTTCAGTTTTAAATCTAAGGAATCGGACTGCCCTTATCACCTAAGTAAAAAAAAAAAAAAAATTAACACCTTTTTTTTTCCACTCAAAACTTCATATTAAAGCCAAACTTTTAAAGACTTTTAACAAAGAAATTTAAAGAAAGCTTTTAAGAAAATAAACAAATGGTGACTTTGTATTTCAATCTCCCTAAATTTAACCCCTCCTATGACCTTTTAGGTGCCTCCACTATTTAATTCCCCATCCCTCATCAGAGCACCCATTGGTGCTAATTTAAGAACTAAAAATACCTGGTAAAGAGCTCCATGGTTTTGTTTGTTTTATTTTGTTTAGCCTAACATCCAGAGGTTTTGAAGCATTTTTCTCACATTGCTAAACCCTATTGTTCCTTAAACCAGGAAAGACAATTAGGGGGTTGGAGGAAGGGGGGAGGGATGAATAGGCAAGAGCACAGAGGAGTTTTAGGGCAGGAAAAGTACTCTGTGTACTATAATGAGGAATACAGGTCTTTATAGATGTGTCCCAGCCCACAGAATGTATACCACCAAGAGGGAACCCTAATATAAACATGGACTTTGGGGGGCTGACGTGTCAATGTAGGTGCACCCACTGTGACAACGTGCCCATCGGGTGGGGGTGTTGATGTGGGGGCAGGGGTATACGGGAATCTCTGTACCTTCCTCTTAACCCTGCTGTGAACCTAAAACTGCTTGGAAAACAGTCTTGTAAAACAAAACAATACAACCAAATGACATTAAAAGGAGAAAATAAGTCAGGGCCTTCAGATAAAGGTGATCTAAAAGGAGAGGGGACAGTGGCCAGGGTGGTAGTGGGTACCTTGCTATCCAGCTTTTTCATGGTGACTAGATCCAGAGACTTCAGGGAATGGCCAGTGGGGGCAATGAAGTAGAGGCATGCGTGGATCCTGGTGTCGTGGTAGTTGAAGAGAGAACGTTTGATCTTCAATTCCTCTTGCAGGTAGGCCTCAAATTGGGCATCAATATACTCCACTATTGGCTTATAGCTAGAATGCAGAAGAATGTTCTGTAAAACACACCTTCAAATGAGCATGTTTCTAGCCGTAAACCTCTCATGCAGTTCAGTGCAGGACAATCCTTCTGTAAAGTCTCCAATGGCTCCCTTGCTTATGAGCTAAAGCCCCAAAGCCTTACCTGGGCATCCCGGGCCTTCCATCCCTGGTGCCTGAACATCTCTCAAGCTCCTCTCTCCCACTCCCTCCCTGGCTCGCCGCTTCTGTCCCAGTCACACACACGAAGCTTTCATCTGCCTCTGTGCCTTTGTTCACGCTAGCCCCCGTACCGGGAACAGACCTCTTCCTAGTATTCTCCTGGCTAACATTCATCCTTTAAAACAGAGATTATAAATATGTGAACCATGCTGTCACTTCCCATGGAAGACACTACTAAGAGATTGTGGCATTCTCTCCTGCTGGGCTAAAACGGAGTCTCAGAATCTGTCTTAATAAAGTGATTCTGACAGCCTCTGCCAACTGATTGACTTTGGTGCACAAAAGGAAAGTGGTTTTCAATTTCAGGCAATGGTATCACCTAGTGGGAGCTCTTCCGTGCTCCCTCCACAGCTTCATCTATAAACTGAGGGGCCTGGGTGATTAGGAGCTTCAAGATTACTTCCAACTCTGAAATTTTATGGTTGGAAGATAAACTTTGTAACCCTTCTCAGCAAATCATAATTCAAATTCAAATCTGTTTTGAATAATTACGTATGATTCTATTAATTGACCATAATCATTAATAGTATATTGGGAATATGCATTCAATAAACCAGATGTTCTCCAGGGACTCAGCAGTACATTAGGTAGGTCATTGTGGAAAAGCTATAAACTTTCAGGTCTCCAGGGGACTGCTCAGAAGTCAGAAATAAAAACCTTTCAACACTTGGCTCCCCTAACTCATATATTAAACTGAAATCCTTGAAAGGGAACTACAAATCTTTGATAATGTGGATGACAGCAGATAACCTGAGAGAGCAAACAAACAAAACAAAAAATATATTTATAACCAAAAACTGAAAGCACTCAGAAAAAAGTTTTTTGATATTTTTCCTTGGTGACTCATCACAATCCACTGATTCAATTTGAGCAGACAAAATCTCTAGTGGTTTAAAGAAAAAGCAGGATATGCCTCTGTAATAACAAAGTTCTAAATACGACAACAGAAATCCCAATAAATTCTAATAGAAAGAATGAGCAAGTGATAAATTTCTTCTATATTTTGCACTTTAAAACACAGGTAGGTATTACATAACAATATTAATAATATTATCATAGGATAGTGGTTAGAAGCATGGATTCAAGCCAAACCAACTTCAACTCCACAAATTTACTACCTATGTGACTTTGAGCAAGTTACTAAACATCTCTGTGTCTCAATTTCCTCATAGGTAAATCAAGGACAAAAAAGTACCTATATCAGAGAGCTACTGTGGCAAATAAGCTAATATGTGTAAAGGACTAGCACAGAAGAGTAGGATATAACTATTTCACAGTAATATAATAAAAAATAATAAAAAACATATAGGAGAAAAGCAAGCCTGACTTTTTAGAAAGAGAAGGGGGAAAAAGGAACCCTACCCTCACCTGGCTCATGGTAACCATTCTGCTGCTGAGCTTGTGCCCTGCACTCCACCAAGGTCCACCCGTGCCAGCCCAAGGCCTCATCTTTCCGTCTCCGGACACTGAGGCAAGTGTTGGGGACACCAGGGTCTTTCTCCAACACCCTCTTCGGAAAGGAAAGGAAAAGCAGCTCACAAGCAATTGCTCCTTCCTGCCTCACCAGTTCATTTTTAGCCTCTCAGCACCACCTCCCCAACAGTGCTCCAAGTATGTTTCTGCTTTCTATTAATTTCCCTCTTGCCCCTGGTGTTGATTCTGATCCTCCAAGATTATGGGAAGCGTAACACCTCTCCTTTTCCAGGGAGGAATGCTTTCTGCCCTGGATTCAATATATCCCAAGAAACCTTTTGTTCTCCGCTTACATCTTGGGTTTCCTTCTGCCTTCCCCTGTCAGGGAGCTCTGGCTAATCTTCCAATCTCCTTCTTTTCCCTTTACGTGATCTCCCTGAAAAATCACATTTACTCCTGTGTTTTACTTACTATCTAAGTGATGATAATTCATAAATCTCTGCTCATAGCCCAGATCTTTCACTCAAGTTTCAGCACCATTCATCCAACTGCTTACGAGATATCTCCATTGGCTCTTCTAACTAAATGTGTCCAAGATGGGACTACTCTTCATCCTGCCCCCAAACCCACACTTCCCTGTATTCCTTCGCTTGGTGAATGGCACCCCCATGCACACCACCCGGGGACCTCCCCTTTTACTCCCCCACAACACATACAATCAAGCATGAAATTCCATCAATTTTAACTTCTAATTGTTATAACAAATTAAAAAGAAATGTATTTCAGGAGAACTATTTACCAAAATCAGTATTCCCTGTGTTTAAGTCAGCCAGTAGTTTTGTATTCCCCTTCATAATCCTTTAAACAAATGATCTGCCCCTCTTCTCCTACTCCTTTCCACTTCTTATCTACATTCACAGTCATAAAGAGAAGGAAGTATAATCCCAATTTTGCCTTTTGCTAGTTTCCATTCTTATAGAAAGGACACCCATTTATTTTCTGTTTGGCCAATTCCAACTTCTCTGGATTACAGTCATACCAAGCAGAGGAAAATGGAGGAGGGAAAATCAAATCTAGTCCTTACATTGTCTCCTTTTAAGGCATGGGGATAGTCCTTTTTACCCACAACTCATTTTTTTCATATACCTCCAGCCACAGAATCCACAATAAAATACAGAGGCTGACCCTGAAACTGATGGAAAAAGATACTTTATACAATGTTTTCTATCCACCCAAGCTACCCACTGATCATTCTTGCAAAAGAACCAACACCATTGTTCAGGGACCGACTCTCCATTTTACATATGGCCAGATACCTCCCATCTATTTTTCTCTACCTTGCTGTTAAGGTTAGTTTTCCTTATCTCTCAACTACCTCCATCAGAAAGTGTGATAAAAACAGAAATTAAAGACCAGATGGTCCACTTTAATACCATTTTATAACTCTGATACAAAGATTTGGTGAGTTTGAGGATTTCAATTATTCATGCTTTTCAGGGTTGATTATCATTACAGTTAGTGACATGCCATTGACATTCTCCCATTTCCCAAATGTGGGGCAAATGAATTATTCTATTTCCAGTTCTATGACAAAACTTGGTTTACCTTCTTCTCCAGACCCCTTCCCTTCTTCACTGAAGAATACAGACAGCAAAACAAAGAAGCCCTTAAACCATGAAGAGTTAATCTTGCTATTAAACATAACAGGAAACCTTACCAGATCTCTCTTCCTGCCTCCTTCTAGCTAGCTCAGTCTCAGGCAGATACTCATGCAGGAATGCTGACATGACTGAAGCCTACATAAACAAGCCAGGACATTCTTGAAGTCCTGCATTCATGGCAGAAAAGCTTGCCTCATCCGCAAAGTAGTAAAAATAATCATGGGTTTAGAGAAACAGCACATTGCTTCCCATACGGTTACATATCAATGCAAAAATGCATATCTCACTTCCAATTCTTTTATGGAAGCAGACTGTCCGAAAAAAAAAATTTTTTTTTAAACAACAGTCATTCGGGTTTAGAGTCAACAATGTCAACAATGCCTTCTAGGGGACAGAGTTCTAAATGCCATTTAAAGAGGTTATGCAACAGCTGTCAAGAAATTTCAGAAGAAAAAAATATTTGGTATCTAGGTTAGGTTAATATCACACTTCCTCTCTTCTAAATCTCCTTGGAAACTATTATTTGACCCAAATGAGTCAGATAATTTCTTAAAGAGGCCTCCAGCTGCAAATAGGAGAATTGGTATTGTAGTAGCCACTTGCTGTTCAGTGCCAGCCAGTGAAAACCAGCAGGCTGAAGGAAAATCCCCACTTGGGGAGAGGCAATTCAGTGCAGCCACTGAGGCAATGACTCTGAGCGGGAAGAGCACATGGAGTCTTAGCAGAAAGATGCTGGAAGATGGTTCTCATTCCTGCAGGAAGGGATCCTGAAAAGGTCCAGTTACTGCCTTCCAATCAGGGAGTGCACAAGCATGACATCTATTTCACTTGGTATTACAAACAGCCTTCAGGCAGTAACCTCTCCATCATTCCTTGGCATTGAGGTCATAAATTAAGAGCAACAGCTCAGCTGCAGGGTCTGAGCTTAGCTGTCCCCCACCCCGCACAATGTACAGATAGTTCATTTTGACCAGATGCGAAATAAAATCCTTCTCACTACATCTAACAATTGCTCCTATTATTACAGGACAATATTTATTGAAGAGCATTTAAATTGCTCTATAGATAAAATGGAGCTCAGTGCTCAGCTAGAGAATGAATTAAATATTTCTTCCTAATTACTGTGTTGCTCATATATACCAGGGTAGTTAAAATATCTCTAGGCAATACACATTCTAGATAAAAATAGTTCAAGTTCCTCTTGATAAAACATATGCATACAATATACACAGTTTTGAGGAAAATTCTTAAAAAAACAAACTCTGGTACTAATAAAATTTCTGAGCCCTAAGCAAACGTATCTTACTGACTTGGGGTTTTATTCCCATTATGTTGTCACTGCACAAAAATGTCTCTGGAAGCCCCCTTCTAGAATCATCTTTGGACCTGCGACAATTTTAACTTTCTCTAACTTCTTTTGAAAATGAATACAATAGGGCATCTGGGTGGCTCAGTGGTTAAGCGACTGCCTTCGGCTCAGGTCATGACCCCAGAGTCCCGGGATCAAGTCCCACATAGGGCTCCCTGCTCAGCAGGGAGTCTGCTTCTCCCTCTGACCCTCTCCCCTCTCATGTTCTCTCTCACTCTCTCTCTCAAATAAATAAATAAAATCTTAAAAAAAGAAAATGAATAAAATATTTAAATAGTCATAAGATATTTGATGTTAAGAATGATGAATAGGATGGATGATCTCGAAAAGGAGTGTGAACATATTTGGGGACTGAGGTTAACATATCGGTTGAGCACCAGGTAGTTTTAAGATTAACAGCTTCCCTCAAATAAAGGCATACAGCAACTCAGAAGAGCCAAACTTACCTGGCTTTATAAATTGAGTACACATTTTATAAAAATAAAACCTAACTGTATTATTTTATAATTATATCTTCAAGTTTATTTGAATGGGTTTTAATGAATGAATACATAAGACTGACTTACAGGTAGTAGCCTCTATCTGCATACAAACTATTGGAACACAATTCTTAGAAAATAACTTATTTCTTAAGCAGGTTAGACATGTCCTTTCTTCCACATATACAGTTTATTGTATAAATTACTTCATAGCTTAACAAACCCCACTGGATAGAGAGGGAAAGTTTAATCCAGTCGACCTAAATTCCTCATTAGGCTTGACTGAAACCACAATCATTCAGACTCGATTTGGCAATTCTACACCCAGCATGCTGCCCACCTCTCTAGCAGCCTAGGGGAAGACCCAGATACTTCACAGAAGGACTCACAGTGCCTCACACCAAGCACTGACATCAACAGCAAGATCCAGTTTCAGCTGGAAATCAAGATTTTTCCAACAGATCTTCCATAAAAATGCTTTCTTCACTTTGAGGTTTTAGGAGTTAATACCATTTTGACTAAAGACTTCAAAATACAGGATAATCCCCTTACTACCACACCCTCTTCCAGGCCTTGCCTTTCACAGTGTCCTTCCTTAGGCCTCTGCCTAAGAATAGGACGGTACACAGTATCACACGTCTAGTAACATTCCCTTAAAGTGAGATAAATTGCCACGGTCCCATAGCTTGTCATTGGCAGAATCCAGGCTATAACCCAGGTCTCCTAAATCCTGGGCTGTGGCTTCTTACAGATGATTTCTCAACAACTCTCAGTTTTCATTGAAATCTGCAAGAATTTGGGGATTAAGTCAAATACCCCAATCTGCCTCAGGGACTAAGAGAGCATGGCAGATGCTCATTCCGAATTCCTCTACTCTTTAATGCCTTCTTATTTTGCAGAGTTGCAAAAAACAAAAACAAAAACCACATTTCCCAGATTCTCGCAGCTCGTGTTGTAGATGTGGTTTAGTTTCTACCAATCAGACGCAGCCATACAAGACCTGGAAGCAGGGAGTGAGCACCACACAGCTGAGGCCACACACAGGCCACACCTGTTCTCCTTGCGAGTGTGATGGTAAAGGCGTGTGGTTATCCGGGACAGAACTGGTGGAGGTTCTAGAGACCTCCCCGCAGTGTCACGGGTACCAAATTATATAAGGTGACTGGTGGCAGGGGCTTCTGCCAATTGTCCTGTAGAATACTGGGGTGTTTCTCTAGATTGCTTTTCCCGTTGGGAAAGCCCCCACATCTAGTTCCATGACCCTCCTGGAAAAACGCTGTAAGCTAACTTATTCCTTCTAAGAAATCCCTTTTTTCCTTACACTAGCTGGAATCAATGTGTTGTCTGGTTCTGACCTCAGGGAAGAACATTCCAAGAAAATTTCTCAGAGAACAAGGATGTCTTTTCTTTTAGGCAACAGAAGACCAGCCCCATAACTAGTGAACATTTAGCCTTTGAATTTACCCAGAACAGGTCCTGCCATCTCTTGATCCATTTATATCCCCATGAAATCCCAAGATGTACCTGTCATCTTTATTTATCTGGTCTCCAAATCCCACGGTATCAACGATGGTTAACTTCAGCCGTACGTTGCTTTCCTGAAGCTCGTAACTTCTGGCTTTTAACCGGACACCTGGTTCATTGTGAGTAGCTGGGTCACTTTCAAATTTGGTGTTGAATAAAGTGTCCATTAACGTGGATTTGCCGATGCCCGTCTCACCTACATAACCACAAGGGAGACATAAGAATGTGTCAATGCCTCTCAGACATCAGTTCAGTTCATCAGGAATTTCTCATGCTCATATTTGTAAAATTTTTGTAAAAGTATCACCAGAAATCCCACTACAAAAAGACAGTTCTTTACATGTGTGATCTATCAAATCCCTCCCTAGATAGGCCTTAATGAATTCCAGAAACCATTTAGCATAAAAGATCTTGCACTTACAGATCAAGATGCTCTTCTTAACCTCTGGACAGAGAAGAAGAACCTGTAAGCTTGCCTGTGGCAGCTTGTACATTTCAAAGACATAAACTGTATCTCTTCCTCTCCTAAATATTGGTGTGTAAAATTACATTACTTTAAAAAATACTATATTGTTTGTTTCTGTTACCAGGAGAAAAAACGCTAATCTCATTTATATTATCCAATGTCACCAAATTATCTGATACCATCTAATGTTGTTGAAAAGAATTACATTTTCAAAACAACACTCTCGACAATAACAGCAATCGTAACAAACCCAGCTAAAGTTACTGAGGGCTTACTTTGTGCCAGGCCCTGCAGCAAGGGCTTCCAATGCATTATCACATTTAAATCCTACTACTCTCCCCCATGAAAGAGGCACTATTGTCCCCTCCATTTCACAGAAGGGGCAGTAAGACCCAGCTAAGTTTAAGGAACTTGTCTAAAGTCACATTGTTCTGTGACAGAGCCAGGGTTTTCACCCAAGTTCATGTGGTTCGAACACTTACACTCAACCAACACAACATCCTGACTTTACTATTAGAGAGAAAACCCACGGCCTGGTATTTTCCAGTTAGAGTTATGCATCTGTGTGACTCCTCCATATTACTTCCATTTTTCCTTCCCTATTCAACTGGAATCAAGATGGAAAAACATTTATTAGATAGTTTTTCCAGTTTCAGGGTGATACCTGTGACAACGAAAGTAAATGAGGTTAAGCAACCTGCAACAGTGGCCTTGTTAATTCACATCGATAATTCAAATCGGTGTTTGCTGAAGCCCTAACATGTGCAAACAAGAGTGGCAGGGACCTGGGACCACTCCACTAATCAAATGAGACCCAAATGTGGAGCAAGAAGAACATTAGTTAGGCCTCCAAAACAGTGTCAAGCAAAACTGTCTCTTAATCCTAATCCTTATGTTGAATTAAAAATAGAACCTACCCTTGTCAAGTGGCGGCGGCAACTGAGTGTGATAGTGGAAAAAGGGATGCAGAAATCAAGAAACATGATCCATAAGAATGCCTTTGTTTTTCAAATCTGGAATATTTCCCAATTACACTTCCAGTTCAATTTAAACACACCAACATGTTGCAGCTCTTTCAACAAATCCAAATCCCATGAGGTTTCTCTTCTAAAGGGTTGCTATGAAGCCTTTTAGGATGGTGACAATTCTGTGGGAAAAAGCTCTGGGATTTGTAGCCTTAAAGCAACTGTCCCACTGTAATGACAGAATTCACTCAATAATTTGAGGTTCTGTAATACTCATTACTTTCAAACACAATGCGAAAGTGAAGGAGGATGGAGCCTTTCTGGATTTGAGCTTCCTCTACTTAGAAGCTTTATGTGTTTTACCACTGGCTATAATGATTCACTTACAGGATAAAAACTGTTAAAGTACATTTGCCTTACTCTTTAACCTTGCCCATTAGGCAGTACCCGATACATCTAAGATCAAAGAATGTCCTCCTTCATCAGGCTGCACTCAGCCAGTACTTCTTCCAGTGCCTACTATGTGCCAAGCTCTGTGTCACGGTCTAGGAATACAACAATGAACTAGCTTGATATGGTGTTCTCCCATTGCTTACAATCTGACCTGGAATGGGACTGAACACCAGTCAGACTCTAATTTAATATTACAGAATGATATTCTAAGTGCCTGCCATAACTGCATTCCTCTTATGAGCGAGACCATACCCTGTGACCTTGCTAGTGACCACAGGTAACTGGATGAGGGCTAGTCCCCCGACCGAAGGTACCCATAGCAGCCTGGTCACTATGCTCTAAGAAAGTGCTCCATACTGGAGAGATACACAATCCGCACACAAAGCAATAGCACAGAAAAGAAAAGATACACAGAGGGAAGTGAATAAGCAGAGGCCTTGAGGCAGAAAAGGCTATAAGTAAATAGAAGATGTGTTGTTGACTAACATTTAGCTGGGAATACAGGAGGAAGAGAACGGATAGATACAGTAGAGCTTAGTATCCGAAATTTATTCATTAATAACATTTAAGTACATCCTATGTGACAAGCATGGGTGCTGGGGATAAAATGGTCAATAAAAACGGACAACTGACACTGACTGAACTTCTGTAATATCCTGAATGTCATTCCAGATCTCCACAAAGTCTGGATGTATAACAGTTGAGACTGTTTCCTGTCTTCCTTACTCTCCTGAATATTCTTACACAGAAGCCCATCAAGGGCCATCTGGGTGGCTCAGATGGTTAAGCATCTGCCTTCAGCTCAGGTCATAATCCCGGGGTCCTGGGATCGAGCCTCCCCCGCCCAGCAGGGAGTCGGCTTCTCCCTCCTCCTTCTCCCTTTGCCCCTCCCCCTGCCCTCCTGCCCCACCCCCACCCCCCCCGCTCCTGTGCTCCCTGGCTCTCTCTCAAATGAATAAAATCTTAAATTTTAAAAAAAAGCCCATCAATAAAAGATCTCTAAACTAGTCTCTGCTCCCTAATGTAATAGAGCTCAATAGCTGATATCCGTGATTCATGGCTTAACAAAATAACTTTGAGCAAAACAAAGTTACTATGTAATGGATACAGAAACAAATAGAGCTCTCACTCTTCGATACTTAGAATCTGGTAGGCAATTCAACACTGAAGGCACTGGAGTCATTTTCAGTATCTGCTACATGTGTAACTTTCTCAAGGGCAGCAAAGTTCTTTTCCAGATTTACCCATTTTCAGAACATGGACAAAGGAACAACAGCAGAACTACCTTATAAAGGTCTCTGCACAAGGTTAAAGTTTCTCTCAGTACAAAGTGACCCATTTAACTTTCATCTCTTTCCCTAAGAAAAGCAATGAAGACTTCAATTTACATGGTAAGGATTCCAGGTTACCTAGACAGGACTGAAATTACCATCTCATTTTACTAGGTTGAGAATTAGGCACATGTGAATCAGGAATAGCATGCTTTTTTTGCTTTGTTTTCTGTTTTTAAGGCAAGGTAATTTTAATTGTCATTTACATTAAGGTGGAAATTATGAACTATTAGCATTCCAAGCACTACTTACAGCACGGGGTTAATCAATGGGTTGGAAAAACCACAGTTCCTCTAAATTTCAGAGTGCGTTGTTTTCCATTTCTATGCTCTGTGCTTTTAAGGGCCGTAATTAGACAGAGCTACTCTTGCAGCAGTGTGATTCACCAAAAGCAGTTGAGAAGCAATGACAGATTTTGGAATAAGAGGAATTACAGAACTAGGGGAGTTCTGAGTGCATCAGTTTGTGAGGCCTCTCTCTATCCTCAGAAAGCAGGGCATCTTCTAGAATTCTGAGCTACCCAAAAGAGCAAAAAGTCTTCATTCTAACTGAGTAACTGAAAGCTTACTGGGCACAGGTTTGGATGCAAACCCAACAACCATAACAATATTTTGAGAAAATAAATGACTAACACCAACTTTGAAGCATTTCAGAACTCCCTAGCAGAGTATCTGGCACAGAACAGGCATTTATTAAAAGTTAATTGAAGGCAAAAAATGATCATGGTGATAATTTATACTGAGATTTGCCATTTTGGTAGATTTTTCAGAGTTTGTTGTTTATTCTGTTATAAATACATCTGCCTAAACATTCCGTTGTTACAGTCGAGATTTACTCTTAAAGAGCTATCTGTGGCTTCTGTTTCTCCTGCTCCTGCGGAGGCTGGTGAACAGGACACCCACATCAAAGTGGAAAGCAGTACTACCTCTTCCATTCTATTCTCAGGCTTATTTAAACCACAGGCTCTAAGCTGGACATGAGAAGGAGGGGGAGGGGGAGGAGGAGGAGAAGAAGAAGAAAGAAAAAAGAAAAAGAAAAAAAGACCCAGAAGGATTGTATTATTAATTAGAAGGTAACTGTAGGGGCGCCTGGGTGGCTCAGTCAGTTAAGTGTCTGCCTTCAGCTCAGGTCATGATCCCAGGGTCCTGGGGATCAAGCCCCACATCGGGCTCCTTGCTCCTCGGGGAGTCTGCTTCTCTCTCTTCCTCTGCCTGCCACTCCCCCTGCTTGTGCTCATTCTCTCTCTGTCAAATAAATAAGTAAAATCTTAAAAAAAAAAAAAAAAAAGACGGTAACTGTAGATTGGTCAAAGAGCCAACCCATGATTCAGCACCTTTTACTGATTGCCAAGTCTGGCAACTTGTTCAATTATCCAAATAATTGTGCATGAAGGTCGGCCTGCTTCCTCTAAATATTCTAGAATTTTATTCTTGGATGAAGCCAGATAATCAGAGAGCTATGTACCTAAGCTGTGTTGTTTTAACTCCTCATCGAAACACCTTTGATGAAACATGCTTTGTCTAATACCACCAGCCTGCATGAGGGACTTGAAAGAACAGCATATGACACTTGGCATTGCATGGATTAACTGCATTGATCTAGGGAATACTTAGGAATCTAGACCTAACTGCAGAGACACGTACCGTATCTCTTCTGAAAATCCATGGGGGAGATTTTTCTAGGTGAAACTATTTCATTGGGAGCAACTGTTTTGTTTTTACTTTACAAATACTATAAATCTGTCATTGTTAAACGTTTAACTTATGTTTGGCACATAATATGTGCTCAGTGAGTATTTTGGGGCTGAATGGATTCATTCCATGCTCTGACCACTGGCTGAGAGACAAATGTATCCCTGATAGAACTGCTACAGACTGACTTGATAGCTTTGAGTTCTGACTCTATTCCTGGCTTCTCTTTATTTTCTGGGGTTAATTTTATCTTTTTTCATTTACTCATTCATTTCACCTTGTAAATCATTTCAAATCCTTTCCTGGAAAAGCAAAATGGGATAAAAATGTATACCTGAAACTAATGTGACATTGTTTCAACTGTACCCAAGTAAAAAAAAAAATACTTAATAAAATTCTTGAGGAAAAAAAAAGATTTAAGTGTAAAATTCCAGTTTATGTTCATACTATAGTCTTGGCTAAAAAGATCTTAAACTTGCATGGTTTCTATTCCTCTTCCGTCATCCTCTCAAAACAACTATGGTTGGATTATAACAAAGATTTCTATTTTCAAGACATATTATTAATTTACTTTGACCCTATTACTGAACTGGTTGCCCTTCAAAAGCAGGGATGTTACGGTATTTTATCCATCTTTGTATATACACAAAGAACTTACATACTTCTGGTTCAATGTTGAAGCTTCTCATAGAGCTAATGCCATTTTGGAAAATGAATAAGATATATAAATTTTAAATTGTGAAGAAAGGCTAAATAATTTTGATTCCCTAGAAAAATACAGCATGGATAAGAAAGAAAAGGCTTTGTTTAAATACAGGTGCAGCTCTGGGGGTGATTTAGTATGTTGTAAGCAAGATTGGGGGGGGCGGCTATGAACTCCTGGGTGTTCTGGCATCCAATTTAACATCAAGAATTTCCTTCCCTGTTAAATGAACACCACTCTCCTCTTTATTACATTTCTTTCCAGGATTCAACAGAGATGGGTTCTAATACCAGACATTTAACTCATGGCCTCTAAAACTACACTAAGCTCATGCCAGGATTAGTTACTGCCCTGGTTTGTTTCCCCTCTTTGCAACCTAAAACCTCTTGCCACAAAATAAAATTACAATTCCAAGGCTTTTTTGTTAAACATGATCAGTTTCCTTACTAGGATCGTAACTTTTTTTTTTTTAAATTCTCAATTCCCTCCCATAATTATCACATGAAAATAAAGTAATGATGCTATAAATGCCACACAAGTGCATACTGTGTAAAAAAAATACAAATGGACAGTAGGGTGACAAGCTGAAAAGAAAGTACCATGGATATGCTTAAATTAAATGTCACCTACTCCTCTAAGTGGCTGTCAAAATATTTTGATCAATTAGAATACTTTTTCATAGACTCTTACTTTAAAAATAGATGGACCATTATGGATGGAAGTGGAGGGTATTATGCTGAGTGAAATAAGTCAATGAGAGAAAGACAATTATCATATGGTTTCCCTCATAGGTAGAATATAAGAAACAGCACAGAGGATCATAGGGGAAGGGAGGGAAAACTGAATGGGAAGTCATCAGAGAGGGAGAAACACCACGAGAGACTCTTAACTCTAGAAAACAAACTGAGGGTTGTTGGAGGGGAGGAGGTGGGGGGATGAGGTAACTAGGTGATGGGCATTCAGGAGGGCACGTGGTATGATGAGCACTGGGTGTTATATGCAACTGATGAATCATTGAACACTACATCTGAAACTAATGAAACTAATAATTGAATTTAAATAATAAAAAATAAATAAATAAAAATAGATGGACGATTAATTGGCAGTGAGCGTTGTTTTCTTATACAGATATTTTGCTGTAAATTATTTGTGGCAAAGGGATTTGATGTGTTCTACCCTCTGTGGACAAGTATGCTTAATACTTAATGCTGACATCCCTGACCCCTGTCTCCCAAAGAGCTAACGCTGGCTCCAACCAAAGGGCTCCAGAGTCATGGAAGAGAACCTGGTCAGCTAGATATACTGGCATGGAGGAATAGCTAGGACTTACTGTAGAGTTTAAAAAAAAAAGGAATATGAACAGCATGATCTCATTTGTGTAAAACCAAAACATAAAAGTACTTATGTAATCGTGAGAGAGCTGTTTATATCTGCCCAGTGTGTGTCTCTTCCATGCCCAACCTCCTTTCTGATCATGTCTTCTTTCTCACAGGGCACCATTTGTGTTTTGTAGTTAACTAGCCCCATATCCCACCCCGAGTGAGCACAGGACTCAGGCCTGGTCAGAGACACCCTATGACTGTTCAGCAAGACTTGTCAAGGATGGCGGGTTCTTTCCTCGGGGGTTGCTAAGCCAACAACAACTGCTGAAAGCCATACTCGCCCCCATGAAGAAAAAGCCTGAACATGAAGCCAAGCAGAAGCAAGCAGGATCAAGAACCAGAGACCCAGCCTTGAAAACACTCTGTGATTCCCTAGAGCCAGTTGTTCTTAATTACATGATTCAATATATTACTTTTTTAGCATGCTTTGGAGTTGCAGAGGCCTCTTAACTAAGTTTAAACTGGACTTCTGGAATTCTCTGTGGAAATTTTCCTAATACAAAAACAGAGAGAAACACAACACTGCTGGCTTTGAAGATGGAGGAAAGGGTCCACAAGCCAAGGATGCAGGCGGCCTCCAGAAGCTGGCAACAGCAAGGAAATGTGTGTTCCCCCAGAGGTTCTGGAAAGAAACCCAGCCCTGTGGATGCCCTACTTTTAGCCTGGTAAGACACATATGGGACTTCTAAAGAACCGTAAGATAATAAGCCAGTGTTGTTTTAAGCCACCAAAAATAATTTTTTAAGTACAGAAAAATGTAGAAGATTTCTAGAAGGATTCCACAGTGCTACCTCTGTGGAATGGAAATGAGGGCAGGAGGGGAAAGGGGGCAGGGAGAGCTTATAATTTTTTAAAAAACAAGTATGTATTATTTTAAATTAAAAAACTAATTTTAAACATGTTTAAGAATGAGCCCAGAATAAAAATCTAAAAACCATAGGCATTATCACCTACCCAGTACAGTCAGAATAGCAGCTGCTTTACAAATCCATCTGGGCAATGTGGATGTGACTTGTGATGAATTCCAACTGGCATCATAATTGTGCTATTGAACACACAGGGTCAGCCAATGAGCCAATACACCCCACTGCACACCACACACCAGGTCAAAACAGGTCCTTCCAGCAAACCCAATCCCACTGAAAGGCATTATCCTACATGCAGGGGCTGGGATATAACTCTCACATGTATTCTTGAAGCTGATTTTGGAGACAGGGCTGAGGGAGGCAGGGAAGAGAAGCCAGAATAGTAACTGTCCTCTAATTTAGCACGCTTTTCAATAGAAAATCAACAAATTGCCAACAAATTGCTACGCTAATGAAGAATTGCCCTGCTCTGCAATGAGCATTTACCCTAAGAGAAAAGACAACTCATTTATGCCACTCTGTAGAACTGAGCTGCCATTTAGGAGCTCCCCTGCTGAATTTTAAAAAGCTTCATGTAGGGGAAAGGGGAATGCATGAGAGCTGGCTTCTTTGGTCATGTTTCTCTCCAGTTATTGTCTTATCCAGCGCTTTCAGACATAACGCCAGAGTGCAAGCTCGTCTATAGTGTACAAGTCGTTTGTGGCTTTCTACAAATGAACACCCAATACAGGGGCTACACTGAATATGCTCAGGTTTTTTGAAAAAGAAAATATCTGGCCCTTCCCCTAATAACTAACAAATTTTTTAAATGGTGGTTCTTATATTCAATGCCTACCTTTTTAAAATTCACTTCATTTTACTTGGACAAGAGAAATAAGTCTGGTACATTCTGCTAAGCTTAGGGGAAGGATGGTCCACTTGGCTACATATGTAATTTCTTCTGGTCTAGCTCAGAGTGATGTCTCCGAAACATACACCCAGAGGACAAGAGGACAATGGCAACAAAACAGTGCAGCCCAAACCATTTCACTGCTGTACAGCCTGGCCATTCATCAGGACTGACAAAGAAGGAAAGGCCATTATCTGTGCCAGGGGCATCTCTGCTTCAACCCAACAGATTTATACTTCTATTTTCCTCTCCCCGCCCCCACCTTCTTTTCTGCCTTTCCTTTAAAAAGGATATGGCTAGAAAGAAGAAAAATACCAAGGCCAGAGGCCTAGACTAATGTACAACATCTACAAGATATGAATAAAACATACTGAGGAGACAGATAAATCAATTCTCTTGGGGTTTTTTCCATTTATCTACCAGGAATAAACTAAGGTCAGTTTTAGATTCCAATTTAAAGACAGAAGTTTAATTTGATAATTTGGGCAGAAAATTTATTTCAAATATAGAACAGAATTTTAAATTCTTTTGCTCTAAAAATCAAAAATGTAAACATTATGTTTATTAAGGAAGTTAGAGTAATTTCAGGTTTTACTTATATTAGGTTGTATATCTTTGAAAAGACTTCAATGGAGGTTACTATTGCACTGTAGTCATAAATTCTAAAAATGCTTTTGAATGATCTTACTATGTGTGTTCATATCACTTCCTTCTTTCTACTTCCTATAGTCTAGTTAGGATCTAAGTCCCTCCCCCCACCAAAAATTAAAATAAGTGTTTTAATAACAATACTGACTGACCACTTGAATGTGTGACACAAATAAAAATAACAATTTGAGTAACATCGCAAAGCTTATGAAACATTTACCAAATACAAGTCTCAATCTGTGTAACTATGTGACATATATACAGTGGGTACTATTGTCTTACTTTACTAATGAAAGAAAGAAAAGTAAAAATATCATTCCCCTATTTCCCTGAAATGTGCCCCTCTGATAGTCACCTGCCAACACCTAAGGATCAGACCCCCGGCTCAGCAGCAAGAGATGAGTCACTTACCAACACACAGGATGTTGAAACAGAATCCTTGAGAAGTAGATTTATTGACCAGCTGGTCCGGGAGACTGTCAAATCCAACATGTCCAGAAAGGGACAAGTTCCGAAGCTCTTCATTCTGGAATTTCAGAGGGAAAGGTTTGAGAATTCATGAACTATGCCACCTGAGTTACCACGCATTGTGGATAGTACCCTCTCCCTCCCCCTCTTCTTAACTGCATGGAAAAAGAAGATTCCCTCTAAACCCACATCCTCCTTGCCTTCAGTTGCTCTTCCACAAAATCACACTGACTCCCAAAGCAGACTCTCTCCCAAGGAATCTCACTTCTGGTTACAAGTGTCCTGGTCCAGGGAAATATGAGCTTCTAGAGGTGGCTATTTCAGATATGCATTAAGTGACATAAAAAAAAAAAAAACCATGTTGATGGCTTCACGAATTCAAGAAAAATTTTCAATTTACTTTCAATCCAGAGTGTAAAATAAGTAACACTCTTTTAGATAAAGAAGGAACTCTGAGACCCTCAGAATGGAAGATACATACTTGTTACAATTATAAAAATTCTGTAACCACCATAAATGCAACATATTTAAAACTATTCAGCTCTTGAATTGGTCTTGTCTCCACCATCAGCTATACAGGCTTTTGGGAGCATCTTTGCTTTCCCCTGCGCAGCACCCAACACAGGCTCTGCACTCACTGGGCCTTCTCAGAGTTTACTGAAGGAGACTGGGATAAGGTAGTTATCATACACTTAAAAATGTGGATGATTCATGCTATTTTATAATGGTGCTGACTGCCTCCATGACTTTGAATGCGTCTCATATGTACTGGAGGTAATCTATGAAAACTTTCTTTCCCAAGAAAACAGAGGTGAGCTATGGTCCTTCAATTACAACATCATGGTTATGGTTTGGGATTCCAGAAACTAGATATTGAAAGCCTCCTTGAAAACAAGACTCGTCGTGTTCTTTCTGGCTCTGTTACCAGTGGTCTTTAATATTCAAAATACTGAAGTTTGAATGAGAAAATGAGTCTCAAAACCCTATTTTTTTTAATAAAAAAGAAAAAGCTTTGCACAGGATCATTTCAATGATATTTTTTAAAAGATTGGTTTTCGTTATTCTTCTATTTGTTACATAATGATGACAGTGATTTCTTTTAATAATCAAGGACTGAGACTCCATTTTCACATCACTATGGTCACCATCTAGGCAGAGAAATAGGACTCCCTAAATACAATGATTTTAAAGGAATGTTTTATGAACAACATAATGGCTAAGGTCCTTGCCGCTCTAGAATTCCAATTCTGTGAAATACAGCTAAAAACCGGCACACTGCCCGAATACCATGGTGGCAGCTGCAGGTTTCAGGTCAATGGGACAGAGAGCAGATGCCTAGTCTATGAATAGTTTCCTTGAAACCTGCCAACAATGAATATGAGACTCAAGAGTAGGCACTTATCCTTGAACAGGATGGCATGGTCGACAGCTCCCCAAGCAGCTTTGGTGGCAGGCCCCCACGGGCAGAGGCCCCCATGGGCAGCAGGCCAGGCCTCCTCACACCACCACATGGACCTCATTCTACCACCTGCCCCTTCCTCTTCCATACCTCAAAGGTTCAGACATCAGGTATTTTTAGGGTGTTTACCACATCCTCCAAGACTTGGGGGAGGAGGATTTGAAATGAGTCTGGGTTATATTTAGAACTCTTTCCACCACAGCTGTGCGGTGGCTGTTGAGCATCAGGCCGGGAGATGCCACCACACCAGCCTTCAGCTGAGCTGCATCTCTGACCTGAACAGTCAGTGAACAGCCTGAAAGGAGGCAAGGCAGGGAAGAACCATCATCCTACACTCCCCCCTCTTCCCCACCACAACAATTCTTTTCATTTCCGGTGGGGCGGGGGGGAGGCGGGGGGAGTGGTTTATTACTGTGGATTCTGCATTGTTGGGTTTTTAGATTCAGATAGATATCCACCCATGAGCCAATCCTGGGAAAGAATCAGAGTTAGTAATTATAGCTCTCATCCCAGAACCCAATGCACAGCATCTCATATTCTCACCATTTCCAAAACACGAGAAACCACCCACACACCCACTGAGTATTTTTATACCCACTGAAAACCACATACAAAATGAAGGGTTATAAAACAGTTCGGTCTTGAAATTTTTTAAATTTAAATTTATTTCTTCAGAGTCTGTCTTCTAACTTTGTAATATGAAATATGTAAATTTTATATTGCCATTTTAGAATTTCATAATTTGAGCCTAATTCTCTGCCTAGTATTAAAGGAACTTGGAGGGTCACTGGCCATCAGTATGTGATTGGAAAAAGGGAAGTAGGAAGTTCCTCCTGTGGTTCACGAGCAGGCTTAAAAACTGGAAAGCGCTGTAGGAAAAGCAAAGAGAGGCTCTAAGTCACACACAACAGCGGCTGAACTGAATTCCTACACCCCAGAATTTTAGGTCACCATGTTTACTGCTTCTTGCCTTAGCTATCTCTCCTCCAAAAAGTGTAAGATCTCTTTTGAGTCTATGGGTGCAGTCTTAGGGAATTTCAAATATTGTCATGTCCTTAACCACCGTCACACATCTGGAAATGACTCTCAGCTTTTTACCTCTAATACTGAATTTTTTGCCTGAGTTCCAGTTCTGAATCTCTATCAAAGGGATGATTCTCTTGGGTTGTCCCACCTGTACCTCAAACTGATGTTCATGAAACTGAAATCATATTTCTCCATCCCAAACCCTATTTCTGTTAATGGCACTTAAGTTATGCCCTCTCATCCCTTGCATAAATTCCAAAGTGTTATCAAGACTATATCCTCCTCCTCTTTATTCCTACTCACTCAACCACCTTCTATCTGGTCCCCTTACCTCCACCCCATTCCCTCTAATCCCTCCACTCTCTACTTTGCTGCAAAAGGGATCTCTGAACTCAAAGGCCCCCAATCCAAACTCCTTGGACTGCCATCTCAGGGCCTCCATGGGCTAATCCCTAATCTCCTACCTAATCTCCCACTTCTCCCCACAGGACACCTTTCACTGCAGCTAACCTGAATTCCTTACTATTCCTGAGACAACCCCACATTTCTCCCCATCAGAGTTTATTCACACCATTTCCTCGATCTGGGAAGACCTTATAGTCAATGTTTACATATCAAAACCTTCCAGATACTGCTGAAATGTGATCTCCAGCATTATCTTTATTATTAAATCTCAGAGAGAATTTCAGTAAACATACCCCTTACCAATGAAAGGAAAATGATGATTGGATAAAGATGGGTCAAGCCATTTGGTATGCCAGGACCATCATAACAGCTAACATTTATTGACCATTTCCAATGTTCCAGGAAAGCCTTAATAATGAACTCGTTAATTTATCTTAACAATTCTATAAGATAGTTACTATTATGACCCAACCTCAATTTTTGATGAGAAAACAGAGGCACTTAAGTTTAGTAGCTTGTCCAACGTCACACAGTTAGTAAGCTGAGGAGCTGAAATCTGATCCCAGAAGTCAGGTTGTAGAATCCAGAGACCTTGCACTTAGTCACTGGTACAGCAGGATGATCTACTAAGTTCTCAGACAGCCCCAGACAATACAATGGTTTTAGCTGTTATCAAAATCCAATACGTTAAAGTAGGGAGAAAAAAAAAAAAACTCTCTGAAGTCATAATTCTTTGGCAACCGTAAGAAATGGAAGGTGAGAATTAGAACTGGCAAAGTAGCTCTAAATATATTTCCACTGGTCCTGGCAACGCCAAGGCCAGACCTCGATTTCTGCAGCCACAGCACATGAAGCCAGTAATATAAGGCTTAGTTCTGACCATTCTTTAAATGAAAGTGCCAACATGGAACCACTACGTAAGTGACTATAAGACCTTAGTTGATTTAGTCCTCCATTTGCTAATCTATCTATGGAGGATTTGTACTTACATGATTTCTATGCCTACTCCATCTTGAAATGGGTTATGACTAATTCTATGGTATAAAGTAATTTAACAACCTCATTTTTCTCTTTTCGGGTCACCTCCTCATGGACACAATTATTTATTTGCTCATTCAAAAATACTTACTGTTCAAAGCAGTAAGGGACCAGATGTTATTTTTGTTATTCATTGATAAACACTCTTCCCGCCCTTAAGAGGTTTACCATTTAGGGGCACCCAGGTGGTTCAGTTGGTTAAGCGGTCGACTCCTGATTTCGGCTCAGGTCATGATCTCAGAGTCCTAGGATCAAGCCTCACATTGGGCTCTGCACTCAGTGGGGAGCCTGCTTGAGGATTCTCTCTCCCTCTCCCTTTGCCCCTCCCCCCACTCCCCCACTTGTGCACTCACATGCTCTCTCTCTCTCTCCCTTTAGAGAGCATGGTCGGGGGATGGTGAGGAGCAGAGGGAGAAGGATAGAGAAATCCAAGCAGACGCCATGCTCTGCATGGAGCCCGACTCGGGGCTTGATCTCAGGACCCCAAGATCACAACCCCAGTTGAAATCAAGAGTCAGACACTCAACTGACACCACCCAGGCACCCCTAAAATAAATAAATCTTAAAAAAAAAAGAAAAGAGGTTTACCATTAGCAGTAGAGACAGGACATCAATTAATGTAATACCACTAAGGATTAAAGTGATAAATACCATGACTTTATGGTTGATATGAGAAGAAGCTTTTGGCTAGGGAAATTCAAGAACACCTTTTGGAGGCCAGAGCTCCCCAACTCTACCAGGGGAACAAAAGTCCAGCTTGCAGAAGCCTTCTAGATAAATGCCGTTTATGCCCAAAGGGTCACTTTACTATGAATGTATACTCTGAAGTTTATAATCAACACATTTTTTCAGAAGATGCCTAGCTGACTTCATTACTAAAATAATCATAAAGTAAATTATTTAAGAATGTGTGCCAACACCTACATTCTGAGTGCTGCTTTAAAAGAAGTTCCACAGGGGCACCTGAGTGGCTCAATCGGTTGGGCATCTGACTCTTGATTTCAGCTCCAGTCGTGATCTCGAGGTCATGAGATCAAGCCCCACATCAGGCTCAATGCTGGGCATGGAGCTGGCTTGGGATTCTCTCTCTCCCTCTGCCCCTCCCCTCCCCATGTGCTTGCGTGCGCTCT